ACAGAGGACAGCCAGCATGTCCTGTGGATTTCTATTGGTGGCATAGTTCCATATTCCCTGCTGAAGGCCCTGGTCTCTTCTTCAGTGGTTTTTCTCCTATTATTCTGCTCACATCCATGTTTAATGGGTCTGGAGTCTGTTGGCTTCACTTTCAGAATCTGTCCAGCATCTGATCACTTCCCCATCTTTGGATTATATGCCAGCTTTCTGCCTGGTCCTCTGCTTCTACTTTGTCTACTCAGGGTTTATTCTCAACCTAGCAGTCAGCATACTCCTCCACTCAGAACCTTCTAATGACTCCTGCCTCAGAGTAAAACCTAGGAAGCCCTGATTAGGAACTCCCTAATGGATACATTCCTGCCCTGTCCCTCTTTCTCCACCCACACTGGCTTGTTCAATGTCCATTGACCAAGGCAGTTTCCTCTGCTCAGAACACTGTTCCTTCACATCTGTACCTTTCATTCCTTCTCCATCTTCAGGGTATAGCTCCAGAGTCACCAGCCTGCCAGGCCTTGTTGACTACCCAATTGAATGTTGTACCTCCCACTCATCAGGCTTTCCCACACCATCCTTACTCTGCTCTTCATTGCTTCCTCCCCCCATATGTAATTTACCTATTTCTTTTTTTAAAAAAATTTATTTGTATTTTATGTGTTGCGTGTATTGCCTGCATGTAGGTAAGTGCATCTGTGTTGTGTAATGCCCACGGAGATCAGAAGAGGTTGTCAGATCCCCTGGGACTGGAGTTACGGACAGCTGTTAGCTGCCATGTGAGTGCTGGGATTCGAACCTGGGCCTTCTCAAGAAGAACCAGTGTTCTTAACCACTGAGCCATCTCTCCAGCCCAGTAATTTACCTGTTTCTAAGATCTGTTTTGTACTGATTTCTACCTCCTACTTCCAACTAGCTGGAAAGCTCCCTGAGAGTAGGGCCTTTGCTTTGCTGGTGATTGCAGCCCCACCCTTGAACAGTGGGCTACAGAAACTGGTGGAGCAGGGGATTCCCCAGGGTTTGGAGTAGGGCAATGGACTGGAATCTGGCTAATGCTAGTCTAGTGAGTGGGTGTAATGGCAGCACCTGTGAATTTGCTCTAGTTCCAGGAAGCTTCCCAGTGGAAGGGACTTGGAAGAGGACTTTAAGGGTTGACTCAAACTTAGAAAAAGAATAGAGAAGACATGTCAGGCCTGAGACTGATTAAAGCAGAGATCAGACTCTCTGAGCACAGGAGTTAAGAGGAGCTAGGGAAAGCTGACCAAGGGCAATCCCTGTGACCCTCACAGACATCAGCCAGTAGCTTCCCAGGGGCCGGGTATTCAGAGGGGCCCTCCTTCCCCTGCACTCCCTTTCATTCAGCTCACGTAAGAGGTCTCTCCACGCGGCTACCCTGGCCTCCGATCACCTCTCCTAGGGCCAGGAACGCTTGTCCCAGGAAATCCTGTGAAAAGATAAGAGTCAGCGAAGCCAGCTGGGGCACGGAGTCCCAAGCCCACTCCTGGTGAGGCTGCTGCTCTAGATCCAAAACAGGACAGTGCAGAGCCATTGCTCTGCATACTCTTTAGTGAATTGTGGGGAAGGGGTCCGCAGCGAGCTCCGCTTCTTGATGGTCTCACAATAGCGTCCCTCCCTGGTGCAGCCCACTCACTGCAGCCTCACCTTCTGCAGGTCCCAACGGAGGCAGAGGCCGAGAAGGAAGAGAAACGTGAATAAGGGCGGAGCAGGAGACCAGGGCAGGAGAGGGGGACGGAGGTAGAGGATGGAGGGGGAGGGGGCCAGAACAGGGCGGGTCGAAGGGGTGAGGGGAGTTCCAATGAGGTCTTTTAATACAGGTGAGCATCTTCTGTGAACCCAAGACAGCCTACCAGGGGCCGCCGCGCTTACCGGTTTGGAGATGTTGGTTTTGGAATCGACGTTGTACCTGAGAAGAGATGTGGGGTGGGCGGGGTCTGAGAAAGGCTGAAGCCATCGGGCCCAGGGCCTTGGTTAAAATTGTGGGTGGAGAGAGGGACAGCTTTGGACCACAGTTCAACGTGGGTTGCATTTGGGACAAGTGTGAGGGTGGAAAGGGTTAGTCCTGAATTGAGGCCAAAGCGGAGGCCTGATGGGACGGTAGGATACTGGAGGGGGCAAGGGCCAAGGTGGAGCTAAGTTAAAAAGCAGAGTTCTGGGTATGGCCTGGCTACCGGAGGGAACTGGACTAGATCCGGTCTAAGGAGGGGCCAACCTGGCCATAGGGGCGGTGCTAAGACTAGAGTGGTGCCCTTAAGAGAGGGCCCCTGCCGGGCTTGCAGGAGGAGCCACGCCCGGAGGCGAGGCGGGGGCGGGACCGGCAGAATTCAGGGCTGGTCCAGGTCGGGGGGCGGAACAAGACAGGATTATGGGAGGAGCCTCACACGTCGAAGCGCAGATTTTGCTTTTCCTCAAAGAAATAGTCTAGGACGAATTTGCGTACGAAGTCTGGGTTCAGCGTGTTGTCAATCACCTCGGTGCGTCCGAACTGGACGGAGGGGGGAGGGGGGAAACGACCGAGGATGAGCGCGGGGCATGCGGGGGGCAGGAGGTTCTGGGGAGCGGCTCTGGGCTGGGAGGGGACTCTGGGACTCACCTCCCGCCACTCCTGGCTGGCCCGGCTCTGCGTGTGAAGCACCACCACTGCAGGTGGGGGTGGGGAGGGAGCACGTCAGGTCGGCCCGCACCCTTCCTGCACCACCCGCTCCTAGACCCCAAGTTCCTCCTCCCAGCCCTGGATCCGCTTACTAGGGTCGGACTTGGAGAAGGTGTCGAGGTCTAGCAGATTCCTAGGGAAAAGCAACAGACAGAGGGAGGGATGGATCAAGCTGGAGCCCACCACCCTGACGCTGCCCCGAGCTGGGCACTTGGAGGAGGCACCGGGTTCAAATCGCACTCCCTCCCGCATTACTGTCCCCAGTGCGTGTGTGTGGGTCCCCGCTGTCAGCTCTCGGGATGACACCGGAAATCTCTGCCAACTGGCTCCTTAGGTGCCCACACTGTCTCCAAAGGCCCCGGCAGGAGGCTTCACTCCAGAACTTTGTCCCCCTGGGGTCCAATCTTACGGGATCCCCACAACCCACCCTTTGAGCCACCGCGTTTACAGGGTGGGGCTGCCAAAGGAGACCCCTTCCTCCATCCCACCAGCGACTTACGCCTTCAGCCCTGATTCTCTGCCCCACTCCTGGCTGTTCCCCTGTGGTCCAGCCCTCAGTCTGCATCGAGTCAGAGGTGCGCGGGGCTAAGGCAGTGCCAGCACCAAACCCTCCCCAGCGCGGCCCGCTCACCTGCAGGACACGGTAATTTCAATCTTGGTGGCTGGGACACTGCGCTCCGAAGCTCCGCCGAGAGACATGGCTGGTCCAGTGGGCCAAACCGCGGGGGGCTGCGAGACCCCGGCCGCCGGCGCTAGGGGCGACGGCAGCGGCGGCGAGGCCGGCCCATGTGCCGAGGCGGCGGCTGCACTCCCTCCAGCCCTGCGTGCGCTCCGCTGCTCGCGCCCTGACAGTGGCCGCCCGCAGCAGCGACTCCAGATGGCAGCACAGCCCCGCCCGGTCCTGCGGGAGGCCCCTGCCCCATTGGAGCAGCCAGGAGCTGGCGGGGAACCGTGCCCAGACCCCGACGCCAGCCTACACCTCCAGAAACACTAGGGGAGAGCTGAAATCCAAGTCCTGGGCACTATCCGTGGTTCTGAAACATTCGGGGTGCCTGATAGACTTTGGGTGGTCTTCTGCTCCTGAACTGCTAAGTGCTTCTTCCCTTCCCCATTCCTGGCTCACCTACATTTCTGAATAGGAAAAGTTACATTTTCCCCTTAACAGCTGTGCGACCTTGAGCAAGTTACTTAACACTCATGGCTCAGGACTATTGAAATGTACCTACTGGGGTACTGTAAAATCTAGATACCAAAAGGCTCAGTAAATGTTTAGTGGTGCTGCCGGGCTGTGTGGTGATGCACGCTTGTAGTCCCAGCACTTGGGAGGCAGAGGCAGGTGGATCTGTGAGTTCAAGGCCAGCCTGGTCTACATAGTGAGTTCCAGGCCAGCTGGGGGTACAGAGAGACCCTGTTTCAAAAAGACAAAAAAAAAAAAAAAAAAAGGTTCAGTGGTGTTGTGTGACCACTCGGTATTTCACACTGATGGCCTCTTTTGTATTTAAGTCAGATTAGGGCACAGGGTAGTGGGGGGCATAGTTCATTAGTACAGTATCTGCCTAGTGTGTACAAAAAGCCCCAGCACAGGGCAAGAGAGGAGGGTCAGTAGGTGAGCTGTGTGGAATTCCCTACTTGACATCTTTTGAATCCTTTTCACAGGCATGAAGCAGTCCACTCCCGGTCACACTGTGAGAGCCCCACCCGGATGCTCACAAGTGCACTGGCTACTGCCTCCAAAGCCCAGAAGCCTGTCTCTACCACAGACCCTAGAGGCTGAACCTGGTCTATCCCAGGACAGTGTTGCTTCAGAACTTGCTAAAGAGTAAGTTCCAGAGCAGGGCATGGTGGCGCTTGCAGAGGCTGATGGATCTCTCCAAGTTCAAGGCCAGTCTGGTCTACACAGTGAGTTCCAGGCAGCTGGGGCTACAGGGAGACCCTGTTTCAAAAAGACCTTTTTTTTTTTTTTTTTTAAAAAAAAAAAAAAAAAAAAAAAAAAAAAAAAAAAGTTCCTCAACCTAGGCAAACAAGGAGCCTTAGAATCTGCACAGATAAGTAGGTGACTGGGGCCCACTCAGGCCTGTGGTCCCCTACACCCACTTCAGTCTCATGAATGCATAGCCCATCCTTCACAGCTTGAAATGATAGGGGCTGGGGATTTGGCTCAGTGGCAGAATGCTTGCCTAACATACACAAGGCCCTGGGATCTACCACCAGCACAGAAAGAGCAGAGGGACAAATCCAAGTCTAGCTCTTCCTGCTCCTCTAGCTTCCAACCCAAAGCCTTCATCCAGCACAAGGACAATGAGCTTCTCGGAGGTCACAACCAGATGAAGATGCAGAGTACCATTCAAAAAGACCTTGATTTTATTTTGTGATTGGTATGAAATTGCCTCGTTCTCAGTGCAGGTGACCCTCTTTCCCCCAGGAAACAAAATTGAGGAATAGGGTCTTTTATGATGTTGTGGCCTCCACAAGGCCCCAGGAAAACACCACACAGTTCTGAGTAGACAGGAATCCTGTAAAGACCAGGGTTGGTAGGAGGCAGTGACATGAGAGTGGTCACCAGTCAGCAGGAGGCTGGGAACTGGAAAACCCCATCCTGGGCCTGTTCAGCTTTGGGGCTGCCATGTGCATGATGGAGAAGGGGGCATGAGGTTTCCCCCTGCTCTCCAAGTGCCCCTTGGCCAGGCACAGCTCGATTCCACTAAGGGCTCAGCTGAGAGAGGAGCAGGAAACTGTTGTGGACTGACCACTTCACAAGGCGCTGGTGCTTGTGCCCCGGAGTCCAACACCACGAGCGAACTGTTCCAGTAGGCCCCCAATGGCACCAGAGGGACTGGGGGCTACTGCCCGAAGCCCCACCGTGCTGCTATATGCAGCTAAGAAGGCAGAGCGCACCTCCTGCAGCCGAGTCTCCCGGTCACTCAGGGCTGCAAGCCTGTAGGGAAGGAGAGAGAGATATATATAAACGTATTATCCTAGGCCAGGGTCCAACATGCTCACTCCACATGGCCTGTCCTTCCACTTCCAACTGCCAGCCTCTATCCTATGGCCCCATTCTCCTCTTAAACAGTAACTCTCAGCTCTCAGGCAACTTCCACCACAGAAAAAATTTTATTTGGAGCACTAATGAAACTTTCTTCCAAGCAAATAACCATCCATGGTCGTAATTTGGGGAAGGCAGAGGCTGAGCAGTGGGGCATTTGCTATTGGCTCTCATTCTTTAGTAAGATCAAGATGAACCACAAGCCTTGTACCTGCCAGTAAGGAGACCCCTAAGATATGACAGCAGGCCTCAACTGCTAGAAGGCCCCATCCTTGAGGACAGGATCTGAACCTCCTGTGAGGAAGCTCTGGATCTGGGAGACCCAAATGCCCTGGAGAGACCAGGGTCTCCCAGTAGAAACCCCTGGGCTCTAGCTACACCTTCAGTCCTGGTGGTTTACAGGTTAACAGTTGGAAAGTTGTGTTCCAGTTCTCTTTCTTCCTTGGCCTCTTAGGGCACTGAACATGGAAGACAGAAAGACCCACTTCTTTAACTGAAATTAAAGGTTCAGAAAAGGAATAATCACACAGAACTCAGGTTTATCAGGTTTACTCAAGTGTGGATGCCACGTGAGGCTGTTTGATATCCTGGAGAGTCTTTAATAGAAGGGGCTTGAGGTTTTCAGCTGGCACCCATCCTCTGGATTCAAAGTCAGGTGTGCAGGGCGTTCTGCTACAAGGTTGGCTGGAGAGCCCTCTTCTAGGGCCACAGACCTAGAGGAGACGAGCCTCCATATTTACATCTACCTTAGCACTAAGACTAGCCAGGATCACTAACTCACCCCCCAATTTCCTACCCTCCAAAAGCCACCCCTGGAGAATTCTTCCTTGATAATCCATCAGAGGCAGCAGCAACCATGTCCGCTTTTCCTAAGCCCAGGCCCTATGGGAACAGATGAAATCTGGAAATAGAGGACAGTCCTGGGTGGAGAGGGTAAGGATAGACAAAATCCTAGGGAAGGAGGTTGATGGGAGTCATTCATGAGAGGCAGAAAGAAGTAGCAGGTTCTGGGCTAAGCACAGTTAATTAGCTCTCACAGAAGCACTAGAAAAATGAGGTAATGCCAGATCCCAGCAACCCAGGAACAACCCCGAGGCCTCTGCTGGCACTCCGGGGAGACACACCGCTGCAGATCTTTTCTTTCCAATTAGGCTTTTCTTGGGTCAGAGGCCATGTGCATGTCCCTCAGCTTAAGTGGAGAACCAGATCACTTTATCCATATAAGAACACTCAAAGGCCCACACATGCAGTCTCATGGATAAAGACCAATCTGTTTAGATCTAAACAAGAAAACTTGAGTCCAGAAAGGATATATGATGTATTTAGGACACACAGGTGATACAGCATCATCAAGAGCTGAGCTGATGGGCTTGGGACATCAAGACACAGCTGAGAAACAAAGCAGCTAGGATTTGGATTGCTTTTCTGATAACGGAGTACAAGGGTGTCTTCACCAGAAATGAACATAAACCCAAACCCATGATCTTGGAGACTGAGATCACAGGATCTCCTAGCCTCTGGGATCTGGAGGGTTGGCTAGGTCAGAGTACAGCCTGAGGCCAGGCCCTGCTTGTATGTTCTAGGCTGGATGATTTGGGGCTGCAGATGCCTGCTTCGGTAGCTCAATCAGGTGAGGGATGCTGTTAGGCAGGGCAGAGAGGCCTGTGCTGCCTCTACAGAGGACTAAAGAGTTTGGACAAAGAGGACATCTTCACAGAGAGATGCAAAGATTTTAATTTTATCCTCCAAAAATGTTAAGCAATGGACTGGGAATGTGGCTTATTTGGCAGAGTGCTTACCTAGTATGGATGAGGCCCTGGGTTCCATCCCAGGACCACATAAACCAGGCATGGTGGTACATGCCTTGTAATCCCAGTACTCTGGAGGAAGAGGCAGGAGGATCAGAGAAGCTCAAAGTCACTCTTGGCTACCATAGCAAGGCCAGACTGGGCTAGAGTTCCTGTCTCAAAAAAAAAAAAAAGAAAAAAAAAGAAAAAGAAAAAGAGATCTTGCTTTGGGCCTAGGGAACTGGCTGCTAGGGAGGTTGGGCCAGGCAGTGGCTTTAAAAGTCTTATGGTGACCTCCCAGCTGTAAAGCTAGGACCTAGGAGTGTCATCCAGGTATCTTTATGTCTGTTTGGCCCTTGCTTGCCTTCAGGTGGAAATCCGCTTTCCCCATTCTCAGAGTACCATGCCTCTACCCAGGCAGCAAGGAACTGGCCGTTATAAGCGGGATTTCAGTGTTAGCAATAGGAGTTGAGTCCCTAGCATTTCAAGCCACCCAGCCCATGGTTGGAGGTGAGAGGAAGACTTGCTGAGGGGCCCCATTGGGCAGTTACATCTGAGGAGCAGGCCCCATTCCCCAGGGCAATGGAGGTGCTCCTCTGCCTGATATTCATAAGTCAGCTGTCCTATAAGATTTGAAGCTTAGTTTTGGAGACTTGAAGAGGTATGTGATCTAGCACTGTCATCCATTCCTTATTCCTGCCCTGAGGCAGAAGTGGAAGATAAGGGTTGGGGGTAGAAAGTAACTCTAGTTTGTGCTTGGGAATGCAGACCTAGGTTATCCTAGAGCGACTGTGCTCTGGCCTTCAACATATACCTACCATCCTACTCCACTGTTCTGCTTTCAAAGGAGTCTCATATCAGGCAAAGCCTTGTACATAAACAGAATCTTCTATAGTTACAGTCCAGATAGCTTTCCCTTAGTGTATACCTGACACATCTGTGGATGGTTTTAGGAAGCTGAGAAGAGTGAATATGAACCTAATGCACTATCTGAGCAGCCCACAGGTGTCCTTCACAGCCTGGGGATCCACTGGCTTCAGAGAAGTGGGGGTGGGGGGGCAGAGACTCCCAAGATGCTTATCAGGCTAGCCTCTGCCTCACTCCTGACCAGCACTCCTGATCACCCTCCAGCTTCTGACATGGGTAGGGAAGCATCCTGTGTCCTCAAGCAAGACACTTACAGACAACTGTTAGGGAGCTCATCCGGGAAGCTGAAAGGGAGAGAGGATTCTGTGTGCAGGGCAGCCCGTTCCTGAATACTGCCACAGCCCGTTACCATCTGCCAGCTGCCAAAGTCTGTGGAGAGAGAGGATCCGGGCAGGGGATGGTCCACTGATCTGGGGCAGAGAGGAGAGAGAGGGGAGATGATGTAGTCAGTCACATGCCTGACAGGGATGCCCTAGGGAGGGGGTGGGTTTTACTGTGGCCCTGGCTATAAGGTTCTATTGGAGCAGCCAGAAGTCGATCACTTTCTCCAACAGTGCAAACAAAGCTGAGTAAGGAGTGACTGGGAAAGAAGAGCATAAGTGCTAGGCTGTGAGGACAGTGTTTTGTGCAGGTGCCAAAGCAGAAGAACAAGGGCAAGGCAGAGCAACAGGAGAAACAGACCCAAAGCCTGGGGCAGGGTGTGCCTGCCCTGGTAATTGATGTAGCAAGTACAACCTCAACAGTAGCCTGTGACAGGAAGGAGTAGGCTGGAGGCCCAGGCCCCAAGGGGAGTCACCCATTCTACAATACCAGGGCAGCACAGAACCCAGGGCCACTGAGAGCTTATCAGAGAGGAGGGAGGACAAGCTTCTTGGAGACCATAAAGGGTGGTGACCTAGATTGAGTGAGCAGACAGGAGACCTGAGGTCCCCCTTCCTTTGCATCTCCTTCCAGGAGCCAGAGTTTATATTCAAGAGCATCACCCAGCAAACTCATGGCTATGTCCAGGGGGAAAGGATGAATCAAATCAGACTGTAAACTGACAGCTTCACCAGGCCTCTTTCTCATGGAAGGTTTGAGAATGGAGGAGGGGAGCTGTGCTGCCCTACTCAACAGCCAAGCTGCTCTCTCTGTCCTGGGCAGCAGGCTGACTTGTGGGAGCAAGCAAGGCCCTGGCATCAAGCCTGGCACTCAGTATGTAGCCCAGGCTGGCCTTGAAATTGTGGCAGTCCACCTGTCTCGGATTCCCAAATGCTGGAATTACTGTTTAACTCAAGCATAGAAGGGGTTCTTGTAGGATCCAGAAACACGGCCAGAGTGGGAATGGTAGTACTGTCTGGAGCGCAGGGGAAAAACTGCCCACTCAGTTGCTGGCACTAGGCTTCTGAGGTACCAGCCCTACCAGTCACTGAGCCAATCCTACTGTCAAGCAGCTGCCATCTGAGTACAGCACTAGTGATCCTTAACCATTACCTCTTGCACATGGGAACTGCAACCCAGGGAGGTTACAACACTTAGAGGGAGGTTTGAGACAGGGTTGCCCAGAACAAACCATGAAGTCCAGGTTGCCCTGAATTCTTAGCAATCTTCCTGCCTTAGCCTCCCAAGTGCTAGGATTATAAGCATTAGCCACTACACCTGGCTATGAGGTTTTTTTAAAAAATATTTATTTTTTTTATGTGCACGAGTGTATTGCCTGAATGTGGTAAGTGCAACCGTGTTATGCAATGCCCTTGGAGGCCAGATGAGGGCATCAGATTCCCTGGGAACTGGAGTGACACATGGTTATTAGCCACATGTGGGTGCTGGGAATGGAATCCAGGTCCTCTGCAAGAGCATCCAATGCTCTTTTAACTGCTGAGCCATCTCTCCAGCCCCATGAATTTTGTTTTTAATTTGTATTTGTGTGTGTGCGTGTGTGTGTGTGTGTGCATGACACAATGCTTGTGTGGAGACCAGAGGAAACTTGTGGGAATCAGTTTTTTCCCTCCACATGTGGGTCCCTGGGACTGAATTGAAGTGGCTTGGTGGCAAGTGCCTTTACCCACTGAGCCATCTCACCAGCCCTGTAAGAGGTTTTTAAAACTCAGGTTTGGCTACAGATTTGTCCTCAATGAGAAGCCCTTCAGAAAAGGGAAGACAGATGGCTTTCTACGTTAAGGCTGCTGTGAACTGGAACACTCACAACACTGGGCCTTGCCACATTCATCACTCTGGTGATCCTCTGGAAAGTATGGTATATTCATTGATGAGAACAGGACACTGATGAGAATCGTGAGGGCTGATGAAGCCAGGTTTCCCGGCTAGATGGACAAATTTGGCTGAGCTCAGGCAGTCTATGAATCAGAGACAGCCTCCTAGAAGCCTGCCCTGGGCTTTCTGCTGCTGTGGTGGACCTTCAGCCAGTGCAGCCCCTCCAGAGGCACAGCCTTACTCCTCAGTCTCCACTGTTCCATTTGAAGGGTAGACTCTTCCCATTTTACCAGCTTACAGAGAAACATTTTCTAAGAGTCAACATTGAGGGGAGGGAGCAGTGCTGCAGATTCCTGGAGCAGGGAATGCCATGGAGCTTCTCAGGCCTAAACCTACTCCCTGGAGGCTAGCTCAGGGGAAATCACAGCCCGAGTTACTGCCTGGTTCCCCTCAAGTATCGTTGTCCCTGAGGGTAGTCATTTTCCCTTAGCACCAGGCATGACACAGCCTGAGTAACTGGCAGGCTGCTGTGAGATGGATTAGGCAGCAAGGGCAGCAAAAGGGTATGCCACCTATGGGAAAGAAAACTGCTCATAGTGGGCAACCATCTGTGACAGATGCTGAAAATTTTCAAGAATGAGCACATAGGTTCCAAGTGAATCTTCCTACTTGAGGCTTTTTTCAGCTCTTGCATTTGAGAACACTGAGAAATACCTGCCTAGATTATCAGACTAGGGGGACAGCTAGAGACAAAAGAAACAAATCCCCAGGGGAGGGGTCTATGCCTGCATATTAGAAGGGAGGCTCTTAGCTCCCTAATTAATCTAACTGACTTTAATAAGGCTGTAGGGTCTTCCACTGTAGGGTCTTATACAAATGTCAACAGAGCTTGCAAAGACAGGGGACTGAGTTCTGCCTTCTCAGCTCCTCTGCTTTAGCATCAGAAAGAATGTGACCAAGCAACTACCAAATGAGCCTCATGAAGCTTCATCCTAGTCCTGGGGGCTGAAGGGCTTGAGCCTCTGCACAGAAGGGTGGCTCCTGGTAACACTTCACTCCCTCAGCTGGCCCCAGGCCCTCTTCAGTGGCTCTCACCCTCCCCACTTCCTGATGGACACTATGATGAGGGCAATCTCAGTCAGGGGGCTTCTAGCTAGAGCTTTCTGTATGGAGGTACAAGAATACCAATACAAGGAGTGCAATTCCCAGGTAAGAATTGGTCTGGGTGAGGTACTAGACCTGGCCTTTTACTAGCTGTCCAGTGATCCAACATGGCTCACAGACCTTCAGATAAATATTCATAAGGACAATTCTTTAAACACAGCTAGTTTTCTGAACATTTGTGAAAAGAATGAATACCTGCCATGCCACGAACTTTATTATATCATTTCAACTGGACTTACAGGGTCCCGGATCACAACTCCCATTTTAAGAATGGGCTGAGCCAGGCATGGTGGCGCATATCTTTAATTCCAGCACTATGGAGGCAGAGGCAGGCAGATCTCTATGAGATCGGGACCAGCCTGGTCTACATAGTGAGTTCCAGGCCATCTGGGGCTACAGGGAGACCCTGCCTCAAAACAAAACAAAAAATAACAGGCTGAAAGAAAATGGAGCTCAGAGGGGAAGTGTTTTTTCTCCCAAGTCACACAGCTGGGAAGAGCAAAGCTATGACTAAAATCAGATCTGGCCAAAGCTTATTTTAGCAAGTAGTACATTAATTTTCTTTCCTTTTTTTTGGTCTTTTTTGAGACAGGGTCTCCCTGTAGTCCCAGCTGGCCTGGAACTTGCTAGGTAAACCAGGCTGGCCTTGAACTCACAGAGACCTGCCTGCCTTTGCCTCCCAAATGCTGAGATTAAAGGTGTACACCACCACGCCCAGTTCTAATTTTTTTTTTTTCCGTCTTTTTGAGACAGGGTCTCCCTGTAGCCCCAGCTGTCCTGGAACTCACTATGTAGACCAGGCTGGCCTTGAACTCACAGAGATCTGCTTGCCTCAGCCTCCTGAGTGCTGGGATTAAAGGCGTGCGCCACCACACCCGGCCCTTCTAATTTTCTTTCTCAATATGGGTTGGACCAACTCATAAACTGGCACATAACCTCCAACCAGGCTGTACCCGAAGGCTGCCTTTCCACTGGTCTCTTCTATGTGCTTCTCTTACTGCTTAAACTTGCATTTGAAAGCATTTCAACCAACAACGCTACCATAGAACACCTGAAAGTAGTTATCTGTTTTAAGCCTGATTACACAGATTAGAAAAAGGAAAGCCTGCCATCATGTGACAAAGCTAAACTCATAAAGGGAATTAATATCTGAGTCAAGTCTTAGACTTTGAAGGGGGCCTATTCATCATGTGATCCAAACTTAATGGCCTCTAACACCAATCTTCAAGGTAACCTGGGATGCCTCACAATGATAGTACCTAGAATGTGCTCCACCTCCACTCCCAACCCCACACGTGTGGCATATCAGCCAAAGATTTCTGCACTCCTACAGTAGACCATGGAGGCTTCTGACTCTAAGTTTTCTCGTCTAGGTCTTGAGCTCAAGCTGGACTGCCTTAGGCATGCCAACACTCATGCCAGGTCTGGAGCAATGGCCCAGGTAGTAACAGAGACACAGGACAGGAATGCATGTGTTGTAGAGAGCAGCCAGGCTTCTCTGCCTTATAAAGATAGCCTGGGACAGTGCTCACTGCTTTATAATGAGCAGTCAGCAGGTGGTGGTAGCTGGGGGAGCAGCCTGGGTAGTAGAGGTTGGTTCCTGTGTTGCTACTTAGCTATTCAACCAGGCTGCTGGGTCTCCCTCAGCCAACTTCATCTACTCTTCAGGCAGCTTGGTGTCAAGCTGGGCTCACCGGTGACACCGTCCTCCTGTCATGGACAGTGCTATGCCAACACCCCACCCCCGATTCCTAGGGAATGTCTGACACCAGAACAGAGACCAAAGCCCATGCTGAACTGGAGCAAAGTGATTTCCTAGCTGGGACTGAGGTAGGGGTGTGTGTTCAGGACTGGTCTCAATCCTCCCCAGGCCCCAGACCTGTGGCTGACTCTATGGTAGCAGTGAAAAATACTAAAACCCACTATTTTCCCAGAGAGAGATGTGGCATTGAAGCCTGGTAAGAATCAGTTCTTCAGAAAACTTTCCTTCCAACCCAACAACACCTATCATTTCCATAAGCAAAGCCACTGAGATTCGGTTCATGGGGAGTCCTGCCTTAACAGAGGCAGGTTTGGAGAATGCAGAGCACATAAAACCCAGAGTGTTCATGTTAAGAAAGTTTGGCTGTCAGACAATTTTCCTAAAGGGTTGCTTTCCACAGATTCCCCTGTAGCTCTGAAGACCTTATTGGCTATTGTTACCTAAGAGGCAGAGCAGCCAATGACAGGATCCCTCAGGCACTTTGAGAAAAGAGACTAAGTTAATTTTAATGTTAATGGAAATACATAATTAGAATGCTCCAAATCAGAATAATCTAGTCTTTTAAAACCTCTGGCAAGCAGACGTCCAATTCAGAAGAACCCTGTTGCCTGGCCAGCTGGGTCTGGCTCTGGCCAGGCACTCCCAGAATAGACCAGTAGAATGATCAAACATCTCACAGCAGCTGCCCTATACCTTGTCTGCAAGGTACTCATTTAGTTCCAGCTATACTGGCCTTGGCCTGGCCTCAGGGTGTAGAGCTTTGAGGCTGGGGATAGATTCCCCTATACACCTTAGCTTCACAGGGAGCAATCCTGGACCAGCCACAAAAGTCTGAGTTACTCAAAGCAGGCAAAAATAAAACAACAACAACAACAACAACAAAACTACTCATGAGATTGAAGGAAACTATGAAAGGCTGACAAATGGGGTCTTCTGCCAGGAAGATGGGGATGACAAAAGTTTGAGTGTGGGAAAGTGACAGGTCAGTGTGGGAATTCTCTGAAGCTGGCAAAGTTAAGATTGGGTGGGACCCAGATAGTAAGCAGAATCCTTTGGTTTCCTCCATGCTACACAGGCAGAAAAGGTGGCAGGGACCATGAGCAAGAGCCACAGCCCAGACAGCAAGGGGCACTGCAGCCCCAGAGCAGCCCTGAGGACAGGCAAGTGCAGATGAGGGGGACACAGCAAGAGGCATACAGGATAACCCCCGTGCAGGATGTGAGCAGGCACAGGCATGTGGTCTATCTGCTCAGCACCAGCTCTGTTCAGCCAAATCTCCTATGGGGCCAGAGGGCTGTGGTCTTGGTTTAACAGACTCAGCTCCCGCAGTTGTGGACAGCACCAAGGTGAAGGCTCATCTGTAGGTGGAGGCACATGAGTCCTCTAGACTACTGCTTATCTATTCTACCTTCCTGTGGAAGATGCTCTGACCCCTCTTACTCTGTCTCCTCTTGTCCAGAGAGGGGAGGAGGGTTCCAGAAATTTTATAGAGGTTGCCTTGATACAGGCCTGTTACCAAATAGGAAAATAAGTCACAAAGCTACAAGGACATTACATGGCATTATATGAGCTTGGCTCAAACTAGGTCAGACTCCAGAGCTCACTCCCATTGTACTCAAAGCCCCTTTTACTCTAGAATTCATTAGGGATCTCTAGTCCTCACAATGCTGTTGTCTCAGAAGGTTTAGGCATTGTTCAGGCTCTAGAAAGGAAAGCAATGCACAGGATCCTTTCCTTGGGAGATGAGATGGAAAAAGTGGTCCAGTAAACTGGGAAATGCTTTCCCCAAGTGCCAGACCATCTCTCATTCCTAAGCCCTGGCCCAGCATTAGCACTGTTTTGACTTTACCCAGGAGGCAACATACTAACATGCTGGCCTTACCCTGGGCACACCTGTCCTGGCTGGGCTGCTGCTTTTCTAGAGCTGAACATTTGGCTGGCTCCCTATTATCTGTTCTCATTTCCCCAACTATGTGAATGTGTAATGTGAGAAGAAGGAACCCAGAGCGTCCAGACCCATCTTGGGAGATGGTCCACAAAGGGCTGGGATCTGCCACAGGGGACCCACACAAGCAACCTGGATTCCATGTCTGTCACATCACAACCATTACCATTTTCTATGTTTCCATGTACTACCCAGAGTTCCAGGAAGAACTTCAAAACTTTCTACAAACCAGAGCTGTCTCTGTGTTCCAACAGTAACCCATTCTTAAAAGACTATACCTGCTAAGCTACCTACTTCTTCCAACTCCTAGACGGCTACTCGGCAGGGCACACACCAAGGAATTCCATCTGGGAACCACTGGAGATAGCAGTTTTATGCTAGGCTCCTACTTCCACACTTGTTAAGGGAAGTAGGCCATTCACCTCCTCTAGTAGGCTCCTTACTCCTTGGGGTTCCTCACCTGGGTTTGGGGACCTCAAGGGGACTGCTGCCCATCCTGAAAAAGTTGTCAGAATGGTTTGAGGATGAAGAGCTAGAAGACTTGGCTTCAGCCAACCCAAGGTGGGAAGGTTGGCGGTCCTCAGAGGGCTGTGGCCGGCTCCAGAGCACACTCTGTGGGGAGGATGAGTGGCTCTTCCTCCTGTGGAGAAGAGCAGGGATGTCAGGTGGACCCCCAGAGCCCACTTGGTCTATGTGGAAAATGTCACATACAGTGGGCATAAACACTTGGCACTCTCCCAGGCTCAAGGCCACAGGCAACAAGGGCTGGGCATCTTTAGAGAGGCCAGGACATCCAAATTACACTGGTCCACCAGCCTCCGAGAACATGCCAGAAAAACAATCCTTTGTGGTGCACTAACTGTTTCATTCCCTCCCTGAAAAATGCTATGAAAACTGTGCCATGTTTCTAGGGAAGGAGACATTACAGCCTCAGATCCTGCTGCAATCTCAATGGGAGGATCTTCAAAGCAGGTCCCTAATCATGTGCCCAAACTTTTGTTCCCTTTCTCTAAGCTGGCTCCCACTTCCAGGCACACAATACAGGGAGCTCTTCCATGGAGCTCCTCCAACACCAGCATCCCCCATTTGACTGCTGCTTCGTGGTCCCACAGGGAGCCCCAGCCCTTTAAGTGCCTGGGCCACCATGCAGTGCCCCTCACCAAACAGATGGCAGGCCTCTGAGGCCCAGTACAGACAGCAGGGGATAGAGCTATGCTCTCAAGCCTTCTGACAAGGCCTCCTTTGTTCTTGGGGCTCCAGCCTGGCTCCCTAGGGCTGATGGCTCTGGACCACAGCTGTGAGTTTGCTCTGTTCCAGTCTGGCCCCTCACCAAGCTGCCTGAGTTGGTGCTCCTGCCGGGACAAACTCCACAGCCTCATAGGTAAAGCTCCCCACAGCTCCTGGTGAACTCTCCATGACGAGTGAGAAGTCGCTGCCCAGGCTGGTGGTGCTGCCACGGTCTCTTCGTCCTGAAAGAAGCCAATACCATGGTCAGCATATTATTCTTTCCCATTATCAGTCTCCCACCTTTTCTATACCACATGGTTGGACAAAAAAAAAGCTTCTAAAGTAGTTCCCACATGGTATCCGAGAGCTGTGAAGTAAAGCCAGCTAGGGCCTAGGACTCACTCAGCATGCAGATATCTTCCACAGTGAAGCCTGCATCCCGAGCTAGCAAACTCTTCCTCCTAGAAAAAGAATCCCAATCAGCAATTTCAGCTGTAGCTGGAGTCTTCCTTGTGCCTTCCTTCTGCCTTACCATCTTAACCCCTAAGAACTCAAGATTGGATGAGCAAGATCCAATTCTTACTGGGGCTATAAAGCAAAGACTGCCAGCCATAGAGCCTGTGCTTCCCAGGCTGGAAGTTGACTTCTGTTCTATTGTGTACAGATGGCCTTCTACAGTGGCCAAGGAGGGTGACCATCAGCTCAGGTCTGTGGGAGTGGGGAGTCCTCCTGTCCCTGGGCTGGTTTCTCCCTGTGGTACCACACCTGCTCTTTCTCTCCAGAGACCAGGCACTGACCTGTTCACTCAGAAGTCCTCCACAAGGACCCTTGCCCTGGTCTGCAGGGCAGGGATAGGTGGTAAGATGTGCTTGCTGTGGAGTAGTGCTCCTGAGAACCTTGGCCTCCACTTACCTCTGGGTCTTCAGGGCAGAGAACTCCTCAGAGGTGATATGCTTCAAAAAATTGAAGCAGAAGAAGAAAATCTGAAGGAGACAAAAAGTGGCATTCCATGAAAAGCCACCCTTCAGGGAGGAGGATGGAGGCAGAATTCCCATAAGTAGCCTGCTGGTTGCTCTGGTTAACCTGTTGGAGAGTGACCTGCTTTAGGGACCCTGATGGATCTTCTGGTTCATGAATGATGTGAGTGGTAGAAAGGGCTCAGCAGGGCTGGGCAAATGCCCATGGGCTGGGCTAGGGAAGGGAAGGAAGGAATGTGTGTCTTTCTTGAGGATATGAGAGGTTTTGAAACTTTCAAGTTTAATATACATGTTCTCAACCTATTACAAAGATGAAGACAGTAGCTTCCTCTTACCCCACCTGAGAGCCCAGAAAGAGAGGTAGGGAAGGACAGCTAGAAAGACACCTTGTATCAGTGGATTAATGGACACAGCAGGGACAAAAGAGGAAGGAGATTCCACAGGGGCAGGGGTGTACCTGAAATAGGATCAGAACTGGGGCAGGGCCAGGGGTCTAGCTCAGAAACTGCTGTACTTAGGAGCTGTGAGGACCTTGTCTTCAGTTTGAGGTGGGTACAGATCAAAGGCTCTGACCTCTGACAACAACTCCATCTCCATGAGCAAGTCTCAGACAGTGCCCTAGTCCAGCTGCCTCTAGTAAGTGGACAAAAGGCTTTAGTCTATGCAGTCTGCACAAATGTGCTAGTAATCCCCACAAAGGAGCGGCTTAGGAAGCCCTCACTTAGAGAAACACCCTTATGTTCCCACATGATACATAAGATTTCCTCAAAAAAGACAGAAGGTTGTTCAGGTCACACCAGTATGAAAATGTTGCATTACATAAAATTACATGGGTATTTTACCACAGACTCTTCAGTCTTTAATGTGCTAATGTATTCTGTGAACCTCAAAGGCAAGGGACAGAGTAAGGATGTACTTAATAACCTTTTCAGTCTGCTGTCTTATAGAGGTGTCTATAGTCTGGGAAGGTAAGAGAAAAGCTCAGCCCTATAGTCCCAGAGACACTAACATTATGCTGAGAGACTTGAAGGGGTGGGAACTCTGAGCCCAGTCAGCTCAGCCCCACCTTTGCCCGGGCTCTCTGAAGGCAGCATCTGGCCTGCTCTGGGGGAGGAGGGAGACGGAGTGGAGACAGAATGTCCTGAAGCACCAGCAAAATCCCCAAACCAGAGGCTACAAAGAGGCTTTCCACCCAGATTTCAATGCCAAAATCACTGCCTCTGACAGAGTTCAGGGAGGCCTCTGAGGAACAAGCTTATGAGTTCTGCAGCCCTGGCAGATGCGATAAGTGCTCAGAAGAAGAGTTTGGAAGGGAGAGGAGCAGCTGGGCAGAAGCAACAAAAGAAAGCTGAAGATAAGATGCCCAGGAAGGAAGCAAGCTCAGGAGGGTAAGAGAGAAGGTGCTTTAGGAAGTTGGGGTGGGGGAAGACAGTCAACACTGTGGATGCTCCCACAACAGTCTCTCAGTGAGGCACCAGGAGACTCAAGGTTAAGCAAGCTGCCCAAGGTCATCCAGGAAATAAGCAGGACATCTAGGGGCACTCTCCTGTTCAAGTCTGTATGCTGGCAACAAAAGTACATCAAGCAGGCAAAGATGTGAGAACAGCAGGAAGGACAGGATATTAGAGAGAGAGAGAGAGAGCGAGCGAGTGAGCACTGACTACACTGAAGAGAAAGGACAGGAAGAGACCTTGAGGCAGCCTAGAAGCAAGGAGCGGGGCAGGACTCTCACTGTACAGACCACCCTGGAAAAGGGAAGGGACTCAGTGGGTGTGATAGGGTATAAGACAGAAATGCTTCTGTGCTTCAGCTGAGAGCATGGAAAGGGGCTTGAACATTGGTTTCAGAGGCAAGTATAGAAAATAAAGTGGCCAGTAAGAAGGAAGGAGAAGAAAACTGACCCAAAAAGATCTCAGCAGCTGTGCCAATCACTCCCTCTGTGGTACAAGGGGACCCTGAATCCCCCAACAGGGGGGGTGGGGGGAGGATGGTGACCACATCCCAGTATCCCTGGTCTAGAAACTGCTTCCATAGCATGGCAACCAGAAAGAAAGTTGTTCTGTTTTTAAGCTGTGGTATATAGATCTATGAGGGGTACTTACCTCCTCTCCTTTGCTGAGCCGATCTACCAACATGTGCCTAAAAAAGGAAGGGTTGAAAGAAGTCAAAGGACGCAACACCAGGCCAAGGGAAACCTGGGCACCAGGGACAGACCATGTCTTTAGCTCAAGGCATCAGATGAGGCCTGTCAGTATCTTTGATCCCTGCAACACATGGCAACAAGATGCATACACACAGCCATCATCCCACCCCAAAAGTTGGTATTCCTTGAAGACTTACCCGAAGAGGAACCAGTCATAGGCCACAGTAAGGTAGAGGATTTCAGCAGGCTTCAGGGATGTGTGGATTAGCCCATCCTGGAAGAGACCATGGGTGGCAGGCCAGATCAAGAAGCTGCCTTTCCATCATAAACCTTATCCCAGCAACAAACCCATACCCACAGACTGGGTGACTTTTCCCATGGATGAATAACCCCAAGAACAGGGTTAAATATGATACCTGCTAAGTGGCTCCCTCACCCCACAGCTTCTCTGCATCTTGGATACAGTCCTTGGACATGCAAAGGTAGTCTAACAGGGCCTCTGGCGTGTTCCCTGACCCCAGGACCCAGCTCCTCCATACTTACAGCCCACAAGGAAAGGCGTAGAAGAGAGATGAAGAGAGGAGTCCGATCCCAGCCTGAGATACAGTGTACCAGCAGCCCGCTGTCATCTATCACAGCACAGGAGAGAACCAGACAGGGATCAATGAGAAGGTGAAGGGTCTCCAACCAGGCTCAGATAAGGTCACCAGGCCAGCTTAATCACCTTCTTTCCCGGGGAAGTACCTAAGGCTCTTCTTCAGTCTACCCATTCCCAGGAATGGGTAGGTGGTAGCATCTGTCTTGGTTTCTGGCATCTTTTCTGGCTAAAGTTCTCTTTTTAATGTAATGCCATTATTAATGTGTATGGGTGCATGTGCCTGTGCACACATGCCACAGTGCACGTGTGTAGGTTAGAGGACAACTTCTGGAGTTGGTTTTCTCCTTCCACCATGAGTCCTGGGGATTAAACTCAATTCATCAGGCTTCTGTGCAAGCAATTTTATGTGCTAAACCACCTCACTAGTGCTGGTTAAGGTTCTCAGTGTACTCCCAGGAAGAAGGCCAGCCTGGACAGTCCCTTCTGCTCAACATGTCTCAGACTTGAGGGCCCTGGGAGACAGACTCACCATCACTGTTAACTATGGAAAGCAGCAGTTTCAGGTAGTTTTGTGTTTGTTGCACCAGGTCCCAACTCTGTTGGACAAAACAGAGAAGAGTTCTAGAAATAAGTATTAGTTGAGACTTGGGATTGAAAATGCTGACTGCACCTGGTGACACATGCTTATAATCCCAGTACTTAGGAGGCAAGAGGATCTTGAGTATGAGGCCAGTTTTGGCCACATATCCAGACCCTGTCTTGAAAATTCCCAAACAAACCAACCTAAATAAATACAAAAGCCAGGTAGGGTGTAGGCCAGTGGTAGAGTACGTCTCAGCACGTATGAGTTGTGGGTTCCATCGTAGCACCAAAAATAAGTAAATAAACAAAACAAAAATGCTACCAGGACTTTGGAGATCTATGCAAGAGGATCAGGTGTTCAAGTCCAATTTTGGCTACACGGTGAATTCTAGGTCAATCTGAGCTGTATTCGATCCTGTCACAAAACAATGCTAAGCATCATTTTTGGGCAATAAGCACAGAAGACTCTTAGTCTTAGGCCACAGGCCTCAAATCCCAGACAACTTGAGACACTCCTCCCTCAGCTCCAAGGAGCTCTCCTTGTGCCTATGCCCTGTGTACTCAGTGTGTTCAGTGAGGGTGAGGAAGAGTGGTCTCTAGCAGGGCTCTCAAGCAACCACATGTTAGTGGCTCCTAAGTCTGGGGGACCCAGGGTGGCTGTCTGAGTAGCCAATAAAATTAAGCAGAGCCCTAAGCCTGAGGCCAGTGTCTAAAAATAGCCACATGTCATTCCTTAACTTGCTACCACATCATGGAAACCAACACAAGTATCAACCTTCTCAGACATCACTTCATTCAACTAGTACTGCTACTCATTACATGCTGTCTCTTTTAAGGCCACATGCATACCACAGTGTGTGTGTGTGTGTGTGTGTGCGTGTGTGTGTGTGCGTGTGTGTGTGTGTAGCTCAGATAACTTTTGAGAACTGGTTTTCTCCTTCCACCTTTACATGAGCTAAGGGCACATGCATACCACAGTGTGTGAGTGCGTGTGTTGTATGTAGCTCAGACAACTTGAGAACTAGTTTTCTCCTTACACCTTTACATGAGCTCCAGGGATTTAACTCAAGATTGCCAGGCTCGGTGGCAAACACCTTTATCTATTGAGCCATCTGGGCTAGCTTTCCTTTTCTCCCCTACCCCTTTTTTCTTTTTGAGATTGTCTTGCCATACACTCTAGGTTAGGCTGGAACTTATAATCTTTCTGCTTCTGCATCCCGCACGCTGAGAATACAGGCATGTGCCACTATGCCTAGAACACATTGTATTTTCTTAGGATTTATTTTTATTTATGTGTATGTGTCTGTGTGAGTGGTGCCGTGTGTGGGTGCCTGTGGAGGCTAGAAGGTGTTTGATCCCCCGGAGTTAGAGCTCCAGGTAGTTGTGAACAGCTCAATGTAGGTGGTGGGACCCAAACTTAGGTCCTAGGAAAAGCACTAAGTGCTCTTAACTGCTGAACCACCTCTCCAGCCCCCAACATATTGTCTTCTGATGGATAATAAACATAGCGTGTTTAGCAGACAAAAATACTTTTTACAAGAGGCTCATTAGGTGGGAGATGGGAAATAAAATGCTGCCAAGAGAGCTGAGCCTCTGTTCTCTGAGAAGTCTAGACCAAGAGCTCTGAAGCAGCCTACACCAAATATGGGATTCCATGGAGGGGCCTGACCCAGTTCTGCAGAGCCTTTTTCCTGGCTGGGGACAGCCTCTGTTCTCTTAGGACACAGCTGCCTATCAGTGTTCTGGGCTATGCAGAGAGGGTGGCGCATGCCAGCGAGAGAGCACTTCCCAGGGGGGAGGGGAACACGGCACCTGTAATTGCATGGTTTTCCCAGGAATTTAAAGCAGGCTCATTTACCTGACCCCCGCAACTCCCTGGAGAGTTCTGACCCACTTTCAGCGGCTCCAGAGACCTGCTGCAGCACTGTGCTAATAAAACCATTAGCAGTTAGGAGCACAAGGGTCTCTCATCACATATAGCTCAACATGTCAGACACATCATTGCCAAGACTGTTCCTTAGAGTTGGGATTCTGAGGGAGTGAGGAAAAGCAGCAGCGAGAGAGAGGAGTCACCTAGCAGGAAGCCTGGGGAAGGATAAACCTACTAGGGAAGACAGCAGCAGTCAGGGGAGGGCAGGGACCAAGCCCTGGTGCTCTGCAGTGTGCCAAGCAGTACAGATCTAAAGGAGACTGATCAAGGGGAGGCAGTTGTTCCCAGGGTTGGGGCTAAGAGTCCATAGGGAGGGATGCACTGGGAAGGTCCAAGGTCACACATCTGAACTAAGGGATGGAGCTGGCACCACTGGACTGAGGTTCACACTCATATACTACACCTCAGGAAATTTTGCTACAATACTGGAGTAAGAAACCAAAGCTTGAGGGGCATATGCAATGAGAGGAGGGTCTGGAGATGTGCTAAAACCCACAGACTCTCATCCTATGTGTTCCATGAAGAAGCCTTTAGGAGCAGAGCAAAATGAGCACCATGCCTCTGTGTTTGTGTGTCTATCCCTGAAGTACATGTTCTCCTGGACAGCAAACTCTTGCTCAGTCTTCAAAGGCCCAATCCCATTATATTTTGTGTAGCTTGTCTTCTGTATGTAATGACAGAGGGAAGAGTATTGTGTTTTTGGTGGAGAGAAAAGCACATGGCAACCTGGGAAAAAAACACTCTTCCCTTAAGAAGCTAAAACCAGGCTTTTTGCCGGGTGTGGTGGCACATGCCTTTAATCCCAGTACTCGGGGGGCAGAGGCAGGTGGATTTCTGTGAGTTCAAGGCCAGCCTGGTCTGCATAGTGAGTTCCAGGACAGCTAGGGCTAGAGAGACCCTGTTTCAAAAAGACAAAAAAAACAAAAAACAAAAAAAAACACCAAACAACAGAAAAAAACCCAGGCTTTTCAGCCAGGCATAATGGCAGATGCCTTGGAAGGTGGAAACAAGAGGGTCAGGAGTTCAGTCATCCTTGACTACAGAGCCAGCTTTGGTCCAGCCTGGGATACACAAGACCCTATCTCAAGCAAAACAAAACAAAAAACAAAACCAAACCAAAAAAAAACCAGTGGAGTTGGAGAAATGGCTTAGTGGTTAAGAGCACTGGCTATTCTTGCAAGGACCCAGGTTTGGTTCTTAGTACCATAGAGTGGCTAACAACCATCTCTAACTCCAGTTTCTGGGATCCAGCGCCATCTTCTGGCCTCCATGGGCATTGCACAATGTGGTACACTTACATATATGCAGGCAAAATACCCATACACATAAAATAAAAATTTTTAAATGTTAAAAAAAAAAAAAAGACCACCACCACTACAATAAAAATGCTGGGCATGGTGGCACATGCTTGCACTCCCAGCACTGAGGAGGCTGAGTCAGGAGGGTAGACAAAAGTTGGAAGCCAGTCTGGGCTACAGAGACCCTCTCTCAAAAAACAGAGAAACAAAAACAAAATCAAACAAAATAGGCCTTTTAGGGTCTAGTGAGATGGCTCAAATAATAAAAGTGCTTGCCACCAAACTTGATGATTTGAGTTTGGTTCCTGGGACCCACATGGAAGGAGAAAACTGAGTTCCGTAAGTTATCCTTTAATGTTCACATGCACACTGTGACATGTTTTTACATGCAAATAAATAAATGTAATAAAAATTGTTTTTTTTTTTTTTTTTAAAAGAGGGCTTTCAGTGTGGTAGTGGCAAAAAAAGGACCAGGGAGTATCAAGAATAAGGCCATACAAGACTCCATGGAGCCGGATAAGCCACTACAGGATGCTGAAGACCATGGAAGGTCTGTGATGAGTTCTATGGCAAGGGTGATGGTTCTGCTCTGCCATGAGAACACTTGCTATCTGCCAGACTCTCTGTTCACTGTTTCAGCTATTCCTTAGTGTGGCCCATGCTCACATGTGAGATGCTAGGAGCTGAGTGGTCTGGTCATCAGCACACAAAAGACAAGTAAGGACTAGAGTTCTGCCAGAGGCAGAGGTTCAGAGAACTGATGGGACTTAGTGATGGGTGGGGGAATGTCTGGTCTGAGCACCTGGGGAAATGGAGGGCTATTGGCCTACTTCATTTGACAGCTGGCTGCATGAAGATCACTTGCAAAGGTGATGTAGGTATGGTTGACATAGAGACCTGGCTCAGAGTGCCAGGTCAGTATAGCCTGGGATGGAGGTTATGAAGTGAACAAGAGCTGAGATCACCCAAGGAGGTGAAATATAAAGGAATCCTGGGACCCCAAAAGTAAAGGGTAGAGAGGGCAAAGTGTATTCCTGATGATACAGTAGGAGGCCCAGTGAGACAAACTGGCTGGGCAGCCTCATGGGAAGAAGCTTTCCTTGTACATGCCCACCCTACCACTGTACATCATGCCTAGAGACATCAGTTTCCATGTTGTGAAGTCAGCTAGCCAGTTCCTGCTTCTCACTGCCAGGAAATTCTCCCTGGTTCTCCTGTTCAGAGAACACTTATACTCAGGGATCCCAGTTAGGCCTGGAATAAGTGCTGCTAACCCTACTTTCAGGGGAAGGGAAGGTCTGCTTAAGGCCAAGATGCCTTGTGAAGAGGGCTATGCAAGCCAGGTCCTAGTTCCAGGGCCTCCATCTAAGGCAATGGCCTTAGTGGGACCAATACACAAAACCCCTACTATCACCCCTTATATGATAAGTAGTTCACCAGCTCCAATTTGCACCTGCAAAAGGAAAAAAAAAAAAATGGCTCCAGGGTAGAGGCTACTTGGGAGCCTGAAGGAGCTTGCAGGTTCCCCTTAACCACTCAATCTGTCTAGCTACAGCCTGGGACTTAAGACCAGGGGACAGGCCACAATGAGCAGCATTGGCTTGCTTTCCTCTCTAATGGCCCTTCTCTTATGGAAACATCTGTGTAGGGGACACCTGACATTCCCCTCCTACATTTACTCATCGACAGTTGCTGAGAACTTACCCTGTGATTAGGGATATACAGAGATATTACAAATCAAGGCTAGCAAGATGGTCTGATGGGTAGAGGCATTTGCCACCAAACCTGATGACTTGAGTTCAGTCCCTGAGACCCACATGGTAGAAGGAGAGCACGGAGATAAACAAACCTGGACCCTACCTTTATAATCTCCTGTTATCAGACAAGAGCCTTCAGTTGCCCAAGAGGTAGGCCAAGTCTCTCTGAGAAAAGGAGACCTTAAGGCTGGTAGGAGTTGCTCAGTCTAGTGCACAGAGGAAAACAGTAGGGAGGCAGGATGTTTTTAATTTTCACTGGCTTGGCTGCTATTTCTCCTTTTCTTTTTTTTTGGTTGCAGGGGTTGGAGGGCAGGGTGGGTTTTGAGACAGGGTCTTGCCAAGTAGCCCAGGCTGGATCAAATGTGGCAGTGATCCTCTTGCCTCAGCCTCCTTAGTGCTGAGATTGCAGGCACCACACCACGCTTTCTGTGCCTGTTTCTGTGCTGAGGATACACAAGCTGTGGGTCCTCTTGGAGTTCAAAGAAGCAGAATGCTAAAGTAGTGACTACAGCTGAGTGGAAAATTCCATGATAGATATGCCCAGGGGGTTAATGGGAAGGTAGATGCAGGCATCCAACTCATCAAGGATGAGGGAAAGAAGACAGTTCAGGGAGGTTTTCCTGAAGCCAATATGGAGCCAGATCCTGAAGAGCAATGTGTTAGCCAGACAGGAGGAAGTAGAGAGGCAGATAGCACAAGACAAAGGGAAGGTGGAAGAAAGAGCACAGCTACTGGTCCTGACTGAGGCAAACTGCAAGGAAGACTCCCACCAGCTCTTAGCCTATGTAGGTGAAACAGGCTGGAGAGACAGCTCCATCTTTAAGGTTGCTATAGTTAAATGAGGTCAGTCAGCTGTACTTCCTCTATCAGTGCACATGTTTAAAAGGAAAAATGAAAAGTCACTAAACCCAGATTTCATGAGGTCCCCTGGAAACAGATCTTTCTGGTGGATACAAATCTTTGAGTCCTATTCAGAAGGTTTTGACTCTCTGGGCCAAAAGCAAATAAGAAACAAAGTTCATTAGATAACCAGTTCCTCTTTGCATGAACAGTGGGATTTTGGGAGCACCACACCATCTATACAAGGGTCTCACAGGACAGGCATCAAGGTTCCTTGGCCACTTGTTCCCTTATTCTACCTGTACCATCAGGTCCTCACCTGATATTGGCTCCAGTCAATGTTCAGAGAGAGAGTCAGGAAGTCGGGGATGCTCAATGGGGCATCAACGTAGTCCTGAGAACAGAATAACACTGTGAGATGCAACTGGCCAGCTGAAGAGGTTGTGATGACAGCAGGTCACAGCTTTAAGGCTGTGGCCACTAGAGGTAGAACATCCCTCCACAGTGCTTGCTTGCCTTCTCTGGGCCAGAGGCTACTCTGGGATTTTCTCTGAAGCTATTTTCTCTGACAGGATGACTAGTTGTACATGGTTTCCCTTTAAAAAGAAACGCAGGACCCAAGTTTAATTTTCCTGCTCATACCTGCTTCCAGTTAAAGATCAGCCCTTCAGCCATGTAATCTCGATCCTTATATTCCTTGAAAAATTCACAGCCTGGAAAAGAAGGCAAAATTATAGCACTTCCTGTCCTGGTGCAAAGGCTCCTGAGACATAGCCCTGGCTAACCTTCAGCCCTGGGTGCTAGAGAACTGAGGGGGCTACCAGCTCACCTAACTCTCCATAGAGGTGACCCTGGGAGGCCGAAACTGACTGACAGGGTGAGATCAAGAACAGGAAACTGACTGACAAGGTGAGATCAAGAACAGGAGTGATGCCAGTCCTCACCCTGGATTTTCATCTTCACAAGTTCCCATCTGTCCTCATACTTCATCTGTGTTCCCTGGTCACTAGAGGCTTCTTCTTCACTGCAGGTCCCTTTACATCTTACACATTTCCATTTTGTCTTTTTGAGACAGGGTCTCCCTGTAGCCACAGCTGGCCTGGAACTATGTAGACCAGGCTGGCCTTGATCTCACAGAGATCCGCCTGCCTATGCCTCCTGAGTGCTGGGATTAAAGACATACGCCACCACACCTGGCATCTTACAAGGTTCTAGGGCCAGCTCCAGCAGATAAAGTGGGGCTCAGAATAGGAGTTCCAGAAATACTCTTTCAGCAACCCACTTTCTTAGAGGATAAGCTGTTCTTAATCTCTACAACAGGAGCAGCATCCCCAACCTACAGGCTTCTGTGAAGGCCTTCCGTGTCCTTACTTTCAGAGAGGACATGAACAGTGCCTGCAAGCCAACAGGTGCTCAAGGAATACTGGTACCACCATCCCAGCAGGAAAAGGGTACTTTCTGCATCATTTATTCAAAATCCCTAAGAAATTCCACTATGTCAAGGAACAGAGGGAAGAACAATGGAGAAGCAGCTTTGGCAGCATGACCAACAACAAACTGCAGCCTATGCCTGGGAATAAGCTGGTTAATGGCATCACTCTGGTTTCCCTATTTGTGGGATGGTTGTTTTAGACTGAAATCCAATAATACACATAGGACAGCTGGACAGCTGCACAGCTGCCTGGGTACATAAAGAATTCAAATGGTAACACACCACTAATATCACATGGCTCCTGTGACAGAAGTCCTCAGAGCCAGTCCCTTGGCCAGAGATGAGGCTTGACTCTGGATTATGGTCTGCCTTTGCTGAGTGACCAGACCACAGCATTCTGTATGGCCTGGGTAGTCACCAGTCACCGGGCTCCTGTGGCATAAGTTAAGTTGCAGGATGGGGAAGGTACTTGGGAACAATTTCTTGAAGTTACTCTCAATTCCTCAACTAGTGTCCATGTAAACTTCAGAGGGCATGTGGTTTGGCCACACCAAGTCCAGTGAGATTCTGGAAGGCAAAAGAATTCTCAATTCTGTGAAAGACACAAGCCACATTCACATGGAACTCCACAATTCTTGGGCCTGCCTCAGGGCTGTGGAGAGGAAGGTGTGGGGCGTACCCCACGTGCCCAGCTCAGCTTTCAGTTCACATACTAATCCCCTAGGCCTCAATGTGCCAACTAAGAAGTCAGATCATCTTCAGTCATAATACTTCAATCTATTCTTGGCTTCCTTACCAAGAGAAAGAACAATTATAAATATCAGATAAAGGTCCTGAGCTTATGAGTCCAGGCTAAGAGGAGACACCAATTACCTCACAGAGCCCTGTGAAGTACTCTGCTTTTCCCAACCCTGGCCGCTTAGATCAACTCTGCAGGCCCCAGGATGAGTTAGACACAGCCTATGATGCACACACTGTTTTTATGAGAAGTTGAAAGAATTAAGATAGATTTGATACCCAGGGCAGTGTCTGATGCTCATTACCAGATGAACAAACTTCTCAACCCACTAATAGGCAAGAGGGGATGGACAAAAAGCAGGCAACAGCGCAACTCACTCAGAAGAAAACAAATTAGACTTGTGCAGTGGGTTTGGCCCCATCTATTGTGGTGGTCTGAAGGAAGTATTAGAAATATTTCCATTTCCAGTCTAAGCTAAAGATACCATTCTCAGTTCCTGTATGAGCCTTACCAAGCTCAACTGAGAGTACTTAAAGGCCATCAAGACATTTTATGACGTTGGATATGGGCAATTTTATTTTTCTTTTTATAATGTGATAGAGGCATGAATAAAAAATTCAAGAACAAGCACATCAAGTAAGAAGTGCTTCTTTTTTCCCCTTAACCCCTGTCATTCTATATTTGGCTTTCTGAGTTTTGCTTTTCTCTGTACTCTCCCCAACATACACAATCAACAGATGAAATATATAAAAATTTGGGTAAAAATGGGGTAAAATTCCAACAGACCTTAATATTTTGGCATCTTTCCTGCTCTTTGTTGGTAAGCATTTTTTTTTCTTTATAAAACTGGAAACATCAACTAACTAATTTTGTATCCTGCTCCCCACTTTTTGTTGCTGTTAAAAATAGAGTCTCACTATGTAGCCCTGGCTGGGCTAGAACTTACTATGTAGATCAGGCTGACCTTAAACTTGAAATTGATTCTCCTGACTCTGCATCCTGAGTGCTTGGATTACAGGTGTGCACCACCAGGCCCAGCCTCTTGCTCACTATACTGAGCATTGTTCTATAACTATGCAATATTTCATTCTATGGCCAGAGTACCATCATTTACTTAATTCTTATTCTGGTTAATAAAAATATGCCCCCGATTTTGCTACTACAGACAGACATCATGATGAACACCTAAGCCAGATATGCTGCAACTCAATAATAGATTATATGTTATAATAACAAAGGGTGTTAACATTTGAAGACTCTTGTAATAAGCTGCCAAACTATACTGCACTATTTACTATTCAAATGAAGCAGTGATACTTAAGACTTCTAGCAAGACTTCTTTTCCTAAACATGACCTTTGTGGAACTCAAAATAAACAAGGAAATTGATGCCTGGCTCATCAGGTAATACATCTTTTTTTTTCCCACACAGAGTAGCTGTTGGTAGCACCCTGGTAAGCCTCTTCCTCGGAGTAGGAAGCTGGGTCTGAAAACAACTTACAGAGTCATCAACAGATCCAGCACTGGATGCTTCTGCACTGTGTAGCAGCACTGCCAAGTCCAGAGGTACCACTATAACCTGCATCAGCAAGAGAAGCTTCCCCAAGCCCTTCTTTCTACAGTCTTCTTTAGAACCATTATTTACTGAGTCCACTAGGGATAGATCTGTTACTTCACTGTGAAACAAGTGTCATTATTCTTACGTTACAAAGGATGAAATCAATGCTCAGAAGGGTTAAAGGGCTGGTTCAAGGACACATGGTGCTAGGGCTGGGAGTCATGCTTCAGTCCTACAAGGGCACCAAACACTAAGATGGCAGAAGAGAGCACCATGATATTCTGTGGAGGCCACTGTGAGGGTGCTAGGTCATCAGGGGTGGGCCTGACCCACCACCAACTGTCTAATGAGGACTCTCTCACAAGATAGCTGAATTTGCAGTTCTAAATGAGGCTCTTGAAGCCAGCCTGTGCTGCTGTTGGCTATGTAGCTCCAAAAATGAGAAGGTGAGGTCCAAGCCAAGGCTGAAAGATGATGTCAGAGCTGAGAAATGGGAGAGAAGTTTTGAGGAGGAAGGGTACTACCTGATCTGACTGACAAAGCCTGGCACCAATGCTCAGTGACCAGGCCAGGAAGGTGGAGAACCAGAGCACTGCACACTATACTAACACAGCTCCAGTCTCTAGAATGAGAATGTAGCCTAGCCACAGGACACACAAGCTTGTGTGGCACAGATGAAAGTGGCTGTGTGGACACCAAAGTGCCCTGCAATACAGGAGGTCACTGTAGAGTTACTGGGGACAGGACACTTTTTGTTCTGCCCCATAAACAACTTTGTCTGGGGTAATGTCCATAAATACTCCAAGACATCCATGTGAAGCTCCACACATGTGGCAGAGCAGTATGGCTGACAGATTTCCAACATATCATTTCCTCCCACATAGCGCTTTAGGTGCACAGACCATGTGGATTTGCAAGATTAATCTTTACAATAAACTTTTCCAAGTCCCAACTGGAGACTCAGAGAGGTGAAGCAACTTCCTTGAAGTTGTAGCTAATGAGTGCCAAGGCCATGTCTCAATCCCTGACCACCACTTTCTAGGTAAACACTGTTCTACCCTCAGCATAAGCGCCTGTGCTCTTGGGCCCAAGTGTCCCTGTTGGCTGACACAGCTCCTCCTGGAAAACTCCAAAGGATGCTGGTACACCTAGGGCACAGAAAGTTAGTTCCTAATCTCCAAGGCTCCCTCCTCCCCACAGGTCTGGGAAGTCTATCACTCGATTAGCAAAGTGCTCCCTACCTGGATATGGGATGGAGAGGAGAGTGAAGTCGGCATAACGCTGGGCTTTGTCCACTTTTTCAGAGGAGGTCACACTACAAGACATAACAATGTGTTAGATATCCCAACACATGCACGCATGCACACATGCACGCACTCAAACTATTCCCCAAATGAGTGTTATAATTACTTAGAATGAACTTCTGCTAAAAGGCTATTTGTCAGACTTAGGCATGACTCCCCTCAACAGTAAATAGTTAACTCTAACTTCCCTGTCTGCTTCTCCAACATCTCAAGTGAGAAAGGTCTTTTTCACTTTAACAACACAGCAAACCTCAACAGTACCTGAGACTGGAAGACTACCTTCCATATCAGCACCATGGAGACATGAGGTGCAACCTAGAGAACAGTTGGAGACAAAGCCAAATAACCCTACTCTAATAGTCACTAAGGCCACTTCTAAACAGTGTGAACAAGTAGCTGAGTGGTGGCACACACCTGTCATCCAAGCACTTCAGAGGCTGAGCCAGGGAGATCATCACAAATTCAAGGCCACCATGGACTACATAGTGAGTTCAAGGCTAGCAGGGGCAACATATCAAGACCCTGTCTCAAAAACCAAAACAACAAACAAAAAGCAAAATAAGAATAAACAAAATGAGCTGGGTGTGGTATGGGCATGGTGGTGCACGTCTTTAGTCCCAGCACTCCTGGCAGAGGCAGGCAGATCTCTGTGAGTTCAAGGCCAGCCTGGTCTACATAGCAAGTTCTAGGTCAGCTAGGGCTACAGGGAGACCTTGTCTCAAGAAAAGAAAAATAAGTCCCTCAAGACCCTGAAAATAACAAATACAAAAATAACAGGGGTAAAGAAGATGTCTCAGTTAGTAAAATGCCTGCTATGTGAGCAAGGACCCAGATTTGAATCCGAAGCATTCATGTAAAAAGTTGCAAGTAACGATGGCACATACCTGCATTTCTACCACTAGGGAAGCAAACAGGAGAATGCCTGGGCTTGTTGCCGAGCTAGTCCAGCCGAACTGGTGAGCTCCAGGTTAAAGACCTTGACTCAAAAAAAGTGAAGGGTGATGGGAAATCCTGATGTTGACCTCTGGCCTCCACATGCATGTGCACCAGCACACACACAAAAATAAAAAAGATGGAGAGTGACTGAGGAAAACACCAAATGTTGACCCCTCACACATGTGCACACGTGAGCACACGTGCGCGCACACCGCCCCCCGCCAAATAAACAACAAATAAACTAGGTCCACAACTGGCCAAAGTGTAGAGAATAAGACTGCAGAGTGTGGGTCCCTAGACAGAATTCCTATATTAAACTTCACCTACACAGGGCTCAGAGGCCATTGTGGAAGAGGCAGCAGAAAGACTGTAAGAGCCAGGGGAGGAGGTACATGACCAAAAGGAAAGTCTTCCAGGCTCCTGGGAACTTGCTCCTATGAACTTACAGCAATGGTGACAGCATGCACAAGATCCATGCAAACTCAATCAGCAAAAAACCAGCAGAGCTGATCACTGTTGTGTGAGGGAGAGCTGATCTATAAGGAGTGATGCTAGAAAGGCTGACAGGCTCCAGTGGATGAACTCACACTGAAGGACATGTGCACAAACTTGACTCAATAGGCCTTAACATATATGACAAAATGCTTAAAGTACTGTGGGTGGGCTATGGTGGGGGGGGTGCAGCTATGGAAGGGGACTAAATATGATTAAGATGTTATTACATGAAATCCACAAAAAATTCAATACATACATTTTTTTTGGTCTTTTTGAGACAGGGTCTCCCTGTAGCCACAGCTGGCCTGAAACTCACTATGCAGACCAGGCTGGCCTCAAAATCACAGAGATCTGCCTGCCTTTGCCTCCCGACTGCTGGGACTAAAGGTATGTGTCACCTGGCTCAATAAATACATTAAAAAAAACTGGATGAACAAATAGTACCTGAAAAGAAGCAAAGGATCACCTTGACAAAGGCTATAGGAATGCTCAAATATTCACTAACAGGATGAATTCCGATTTTAGCTTAACTATACATTATTTTCTAAAACAACAGTCCTAGTTAGTTTTTACTACAAACTTGATACAACCTAGAGTCATCTGGGAAGAGGGAGTCTCAATTGAGTGATTTTCCAGATCAGACTGGCCTGAAGTTACGTCTAAGAGTGAATTGATGATTGATGTTGGAGGGCCAAGCCCACTATGGGTGGCAGCATTCCTAGGCAGATAGCAAGTTAGAACATAAGACAGAGAGTAACATTCCTCCATGGTTTCTGCTTCAGCTCCTCTTTGAACTTTTGACCTGACTTCCCCCAACAATGGACTGTGACCTGGAAGTGTGAGTGGAAATAAACCCTTTCCTCCCATAATTTTTTTAATCATGCTGTTTATCACAGCAACAGAAACAAAACTAGAACAACTACCATTTAGGGTTATTAAAAAACAGTATTAAAAACATTAAGAAGCTGAGTGTGGTATCACATGCCTGTAATCCCAACACTTGGGAGATGATGGGAAGAGGATCAGGAGTTCAAGGTTATCCTTAGCTATATATCAAATCTGAGGCAAACCTGGGCTACACAAAACCTTATTTCAAAAAAACCAGAAAACAAACAAACAAACCCAGAAGTATTAAAGTCTTGGATCAAGTTCTTACTACAATTTCATTACCTTAACCAAGGTTCCATTTTATTATTGTTTTTGAGATAGCTGTAGCCCCAGCTGATCTGGAATTTGTTATGTAGTCCAGGCTGGCCTTGATCCCACAGAGATCTACCTGCCTCTGCTTTGAGTGCTGGACTTAAAGGCATGTGCTACCATATCCAGCAGGTTCCTTTTTAAAAAAATAAAAAAAATTATTTATTATTTTTATGTGTATGCATGTATTACCTGCTTGTATGTAAGTGCACCCATGTCATAAAATGCCTGTGGAGGGCAGAAAAGGCTGTCAGATCCCCTGGAATTGGAGTTATAGACAATTGTTAGCTGCCATGTGGGTGCTGGAATTTGAAATGTTCTTCTACAAGGACAGCCAGTGTTCTTAACCACTGAGCCATCTTTCTCCAGCTCCAGGTTTTTCTTTTTCTTTTTTTTTTTTTTAAAAAGCTTTACCTTAACATGCTAAAATTTGGTCCGTATGACAATTTTACTAGTAGCAGTTACTGAAGCAAAAATTGGATATAAACTAAATTTTAGGTTCCATTTTGAAAGAGATTCTAATGTATCAGAGATGACACAGAACAAACAGCTAAAGGTAAAAAATAGGTGTCTAATCAAGAGACAGCAAAGCACTAGGCAATTCCCTGTAACTAATGTGGGATCTGGAGCAAATTACTTAGCCTCTCTGTATTTTGGTTTGTCTAAGAAAGAGGAGACATCAGGGTCTGTTGCATAGGACTATTTGAAAATGTAGTGAGAGGTTGCACACAGGGCCCTTGCACCAGCCCAGCATGCCAGAATTGCTCTGTACTATGGCTAGCCCTGCACACTGTGAACACATAGCCTGAACCTGCTTTACATCAGATGCCGTGTACTCACTTCAAGCCAAACTTCACCTTCTTGTTCTCCACCATCAGGTCACAGATGTACTTGACTGACAGGTATCGAAGAAGTCTGATGTCATAACCTCTTACTTTATCAAAAAGATGTGTGTCACCACTTCTGAAATAAAGAAGGTGCAACCATGTTCATTTGGGAGTCTGGGGTAGGAACTACTTCAGGGAAGTATGGACGAGAACTTGTGCTCCTTTCTCCAGGAGCAATGGGAATGATGGGAGTAGGGAAGGTGACTTTTGAAGAGATTATCTCCATCTCTGGGACATGTTTCAAAGAGGAGCAATTTGCAGCCAGAATGGGAAAGGGCTTTCTGGCACTGCTTGACATTAAGCCAGAAGACTTGAGATAATCTCAGTTCTAAAAGGCAGTGAGCTGGTGTTTGAGAATTTTTAGCTTCGAGTTGATCTTCATTTCCCTCTTTTCCCCCATTTAGGACCATACTTAGCTGTATGCCTTATGAATGTAACAGATTGAAATTCTTGAACGGATAAGATTTTGGAGCTATTTTATCAGCTGATTGTGAAATACTAGCAAGTGCATAACCTCTACTTATCAGGTCTATGAAGTGAGAAGGAAGGAAAAAACCTTGGAATCCCCAGGCTACCTTCTGATCAGCCATGCAGATAAATAAGGCAGTGGGAGAGAATAAATAGCCATGGCTGCATGCTTAATTCCTACTGCTTGACACTGTAGCAGCCAGTCTCCTCTCTAAGAACAGTGTATGCTGTAGATGATTTGGCCAAGGCAGAAGTCACCAGACCTCAGGGGAAGCCAGACATTCCTAAGTACAAGCCAGAGCCACTACATCAGTGCTAACGGGAGAAACGGGGGATGGCAAGGCACCCTTCCACAAACTGAGCCACACTGTGAAGCAGCTGATCCTACTAGGGTGTTCATGTGCATTCCAGAGATGCCTGATGCCACTTAAAGACTTCCCATGAGGTACCAACCACACAAAGGAGAGTTATGCCCTGTAGGCCTGTTCTTTAAAAATCATTTGAAAGGGGGTTGAAAAAGTATTAACTAGCTCATTTTTTTTTTTCTTTAAAGGGGTCCAGTGGTACATGTCTATAATCCCAGAACTTGGGAAGTAGTGAGAGGAGGATCATGAATTCAAGGTCATCCTTGGCTGCACAGCAAGTTTGAAGCCAGGATGGCCTACATGAGATATTGTCTCAAAAGTTCAAAATATAGGGCTGCAGAGATGGATCAGTGGTTAAGGGTACTGGTTGCTCTCGCAGAGGACCTGGGTTTGATCCACATGGCAACTAACAACTGTTTGTAACTCCAGTTCCAGGAGATCTGACACTCTCTTCTGACCTCTAAAGGTACTGCACAACATGAATGCACTTACATACATGCAGGCAATACACTCATAAACATAAAATAAAAATAATAAATAAAACTTTTTTTTTTGGTCTTTTTGAGATAGGGTCTCCCTGTACCCTGCTGTCCTGGAACTCATTATGTAGACCAGGCTGGCCTTGAACTCACAGAGATCCGCCTGCCTCTGCCTCCCAAGTGCTGGGACTACAGGCATGCGCCACCACGCCTGGCTAATAAAACATTTTTAAAAATTCAAAATATAGCTAGGCGTGATAGTATACGCCTTTAATCCCAGCAATGGGGAGGCAGAGGCAAGCAGATCTCTCTTGAGTTCCAGGCCAATTGGGGCTACAGAAAGACCCTGTCTCAAACAGACCAAAAGAAAAAGAAAAAAATAAAAATGTAGAGCCATGTACGGTGGTTTTATGAGACCACAATTCAACTGTCACATATGTGCATATACAAATAAAAGAAAGTATGTATGGGTCAAAATGCAGTTGTGCGACTTCCAGTTGCTACAGGAGGACTGTACCCCTACCCTGTACTTCAGTGATAAATGTGCTATGTACGTGACACCTGGCAGCCCGGCTGCATACTAGACACTGTGAAACCAATGTAGACAACTGGTGCCTACCTTAGACCTGCAGTACAGAAACCCTGAGATAGTGATGTGCTGTGATCCTGGCTGCAGACTGCTGTGGTAGTCGACAGTGTTGGGATGAAGCTAATGAGTGGACTTCAACAGTGCTCTTTCCCGGATGTGGACTTGGGATGTGGACTTGGGAGACAGGAGCAAAAAGTCAATCCATTCACCTAACCAGAAATGAATGTCCACTGCCAGAAGAACATGGCTGCTACCAGCCAGTCACCCATCCCCAACATGAGCCCGTCTACCATAACCCAGCACTGACCGAAGAGCACAGTCGTCCTCCGTGACATCCTCCACATCTGCCCAGGCATCATCTGCTCCCCCTGCCAAGAAACCAGCCTGTCAGCATCAAGGCTGGTAGCACAGGGCTCCACCCAGAGGTGTCCTTACCAGCCTCCTTCCCTGCGGGGCCAAGCACAAGTTAAGCTGACCTGCCCCTACCCCAGGGGTAGCCCTCATATCTCCATTAGCACTACATGCTCATCTGTCCGGCAGTCTGCTTTACCCCTCAAGTGAATGCCTGGTTCCTACTGAGAGGAATACCCTGGTCTCCACCCAGACTGCTCACACATTCTAGTCACATCACTGTGGCCATGGCAGGGCTAGTCCCTATGACTAGGTTCTTAATGCTAGAAAAGGCTGTTCAATATTCACCTGAGAAAAAATAGTTGTATCCAGAGCGTCCGTACAGCTCCCCCCATCCAGCCAGTGTGGCCGACCTACAAATATGCTAGGAGACAAAGAACATTTTCAGAGTCAGATGGTTTCTGAAGCATGCAGACTGAAGGAATGCATGTAGCTCCTTACCAGCACCAAGGCTACCACAGTCAGCCCAAAGGAAGCCTAGGACTTAGCCTGTAGCCTCTATCAAAGGGTCTGGCTCCCAAATTCAATGGGAATTCAAATACTACACTGTTACTATGTATCATGTGCTGGGCACAGTACTGTTAAGTGACACCAGCTTCTCACTGAACAAGGCCATAGGAAGGTATGGCAGGCAGCAAGGATCATTGCTATTTCATGGATAAAGAAAAGGAAAGCTGTCCTAGGGAGGTTAAGAGATGTAAAGAGTCACAGAATGGGGACAGGCTGGGAACTGATCCAAGCCCACCTACCTCTAAAGCCGTGTGTTTATTTTTTGAACTTTTTAGCATAAAAGGAAGCAAGCAACTTTTAAATAGTGAGAGGCAATTAAAGGAGAAATATTTTGGGGTTTTTTTTTTTTTTTTTTTGTCTTTCAGAGACAAGGACTCTGTAACTCCAGTTGGCTTAGAACTCGCTACATAGACCAGGCTGGCCCCAAACACACAAAGATCCACCTGCCTCTGCCTCCCAAGTGGGGGGCTTAATTTTTTAAAAGGAAATTATTAAGGCAGGCATGGTTATGTGTGGCTGTATTCCCAGTATAAAAGCAGAAGCAGGGCCATCAAGAGTTCATGGCCAGCCTCAACTACAGAGTGGGTTTGAGGTCAGCCTAGGCTTCATGAGACCCTATCTCAACAAAACAAAACAAAACAATCAAGGACACATAGTAGCTATCAAGGACACATAGTAGCTATCATTGGATTTTTTTTTTTTTTTTTTTTGCAGGGGCTGCTAGAGATAGGATCCAGTGCCTTCTACATGCTAGGGAAATGCTCTACCACTAAACTAAATCCCCATCCTCCTTGCTTACTTTTACTTTCTTCTTCATCACAGAAGGGATAATTCTGAGAGTTTAAATTCTAAAAGCCAACAACATCTTTTTCTTTAAATTTATTATCATGAATCTGTACATGATGTGTGGACGTGTGACACAGCATGTACATGGAGGTCAGAGGACAACTTTATGGAGTTGATTCTCTTCATCCATGTTTATGTGGGTTCTGGGGATTGAAAGCCTGTCTAGCTTGTGAGGCAAGCACTTTCACCTACTGAGCCATCTTACTGGCCATGAACTACGTATCTACTTTAAAAGCTGTACCTTTAAGTAAACAGTATTCACTGAAATCAAGCAGTGTTAGAAGAATGGAAGATGTCTAGTGACAGGGAAGCAAACCAACCTAGTTTATCTGAAGACTGGGAAAAAGTGCCCCATTAAGTTAGAGAGCAGGGAACCATGAGGCAACAGAGCAGATGAAGCATACTTCTGAATGGGTCACACAATCTGGCAGTCTAAGTGGGTCTCTGAAAGATTACAAAATGTTGTCTATAGTGTCCTCTTTATCTTCCTATGAGGTAACAGAAGAAAATAATTTGTTGTTGCAGGAAAGGGGAACCACTAGGTCAGCTGTCTGGTTCTCTCTGCAAATGAGAAGCAGGTAGAAGAGAAGCATCCTGGGCATCACCCAGGGCAGGCTGGGTGCTATCCTGTGCTGTGGCCTATTCATGTATCTGCTCTCCCCATGCTTCAGTTCCAAAAGTGCTGTTTTGTCTCCCAGGACCTTGCCAGGGAACCACTACTGTTTCCACAGTCATTATCTTTCCACAGAGCATGCATTTGTATGAGACTGTCCCAGAAGCCCATGGGAAAGGACTAGGGCTGGGATCCTGCTGGTCTAAGCAGCATACATTCTGGTGGGGGCCCCATCACTCTTTCTGGATCTAGCAGCATCTGAAAAATCTGTTGAAAATTGTTATGTTGGGTATGGTAGTATAGGCCTGTAATCTCCTATGCTCTCAGTATTGGGGAGGTGGATACAGGAGGATTGAGAGGTTAAATCTTACCTGGACTACAAAGTAAAATCTTGTCTCACAATAAAATAAAAGGCAATCAAAAGTAAAGTGCTTTTTGTATAAGCACGAGGATCTGAGTTTAGATCCCTAACACCCCCATAAAGAGCCAGGCATGGTATTGCAGCTAGGGCTGGGAAGTGGAGATAGGCATTTATCTTTGAGCCCACTAGCTAGCCAGCATAGTCAAATGGGTGAGCTCCAGGTTCATGAGAGAGGCTGTCTCAAAAAATAAGGCAGAGGGTTGGATTCCCAGTGCCCACATGGTGGCTAACAACCAACAACCTTGTATAACTCCAGTTCCAGGGGATCCAATGCCTCTTCTGGTTTCCATAGGCATTGTATGACATGGGTATACTTACATGCAGGCAAAATACTCATACACATGAAACAAAAAAAAAGATAGCAAGGAATTGAATAATTGAATAATGACAATGTTGACTCCTGGCTTCCAAACATACACATGCACACACATAGACACACTAAATAAACAAATGATAACCTTAGTGGCTCAAGCTTATAATCCTAGCACTTAGTAGAGTAGGTAAGAGTACTGAATTTGTTTCCTTGTTCCTTTTTTTTTTTTGGTGTTTTTGAGACAGGGTCTCCCTGTAGTCCCAGCTGGCCTAGAACTCACTATGTAGACCAGGCTGGCCTCAAACTCAGAGATCCAGAGATCTGCCTGCCTCTGCCTCCCAAGTGCTGGGATTAAAGGCGTGCACCACCATGCCCAGCCCTCCTTCCTTTACAGGCCTGATAAGCAGAGTGAATTTACTTGCTAGTATTTTACTATCAGCTGATTAAGTAGCTCTAAAGAGTCATCTGTTCCAGAATTTCAATCTGTTCTGGCATACAGCTAAAAAATAGTCCCAAATGGGAGAAAAAGGGGAGGTAGAGATCAACTCTAGGAAGTTAAAGACTCTATAAGGAAGGCTGAGGTAGGAGGAACGCGAGACTATTTTCAAAAAGGAATCAGGAGGGGCCTGGAGAGATGGCTCAGCAGTTAAGAGCATTGGCTGCTCTTGCAGAAGACCTGGGTTTGATTCTCAGCACCCACATGGTGACTAGCCACTGTCCATAACTCCAGTTCCAGGGGATCCAATGCCCTCTTCTGACTTTTGTGGGCTTTACACAACATGGGTACACTTATATACATGCAGGCAATACACTCAAACACAAAAAAATACAGCCAAGTGTGGTGGTGCACACCTTTAGTCACAGCACTCGGGAGGCAGAGGCAGGCGAATCTCTGTGAGTTGAAGGCCAGCCTGGTCTACAGAGTGAATTCCAGGACAGTGGAGCTGGGGATACAAGGAGACCCTGTCTCAAAAAGACCAAAATAAATTAAATTAAATAGAAAAAAAAAATCAGGAGTTGCTTGGCGTGGTATTTTCCAAATGCATTCAACAAGATTTCTTATTCATTGTCTTCAGACAAAACAGAAACAACAGACAGGACAAAGCTGTGCTTGGGTCTTTGTATAGGATTTCTCAGAGTTCAAATTACGTCAATTGATGCACACATGAATCTCTATCAGAAGTTTGGCTTAATCTAAGTATTTCTCATTGTTTGTTTTGAGACAGGGTCTTTTGTAGCCCAGGATGATCCTCAACTCCTTGATGCTCCTGTATCTACCTCAGAAGGTATTAGGATCACAGGCACACACCACCATACCTGGCTCAAGTATTAGCTCTCTTCTTGTGTAAATTTGGTTAAGTTTAGCCACTCTGAACCTTTATTTCATTTGGTGTTAAGGGAATATCTTTATACTAAGACAGTAAGCTGGGAAGGGGTGGTGGTAGTGGTGAAGAGATGGTTCAGTGGTTAAGAGCACTGGCTATTCTTGCAGATGGCCCAGGTTCAGTTCCCAGTATCCACATGGTGGCTAACAACCATCTGTAACTCCAGTTCCATGGGATATGATGCTCTCTTCTCACCTCCATGTGAAGTGCACAACACAGGTGTACTTACATACATGCAGGCAATACACTCATAAAATAAAAATAAATAAAATATTTAAAAAATAAAAGATAGTAAGCTAGGTAAAATGAGATACTATGGAGCCACCTTAACAGTACCCCTGAGCATATACACTGCAGGGGTCAAGATTTTTGTCTGCTTACATGCTGATAGATCTCAAGTCCTGAAACAATGCCTGTCACATCGTACACACTCAGTAAATACTTGGCTAATTACATGACTGAATAATGAACAAACAGTATTTATGTGATTTAATTTACTTTCTAAACCTATAATATACGTAGATTATTGTCTCCATTTTATAAAAGAATAAACTGAGGCCATATACAGGCAGTTTAGTTCTAGAACTATAGAGTAGATATACTCTGGTGTTATATCCCTTCCCTCCCCCAAATCATCCCTGAATCAGAACTTGTCTGTTTCTCTGGCCTGTTTCCCACACCAGTCACTCAGTAGCCAATTGTCCCATCCTTGGCTGGTAGAGAATAAAAATATCCTACAACTTGGCATGAAGTCAGCGGCCCAAAAAAGGGGGACACCAATTGTGCCTGCGGGCGGGCCTTACCTTGCCTTTGAACAGGATCACCGGGCAGACAAACCGCCCTCGGCACCTGGCCATCTTGCTGCGGTTGATGAGGTCTTGCAGTTTGCTCACCTGCACAGTACTCTGAAACCTAAGACACAGGCAGGAGAGGCAGGTCAGCCTTGCTCCTCAATGGACACTCATGTATGTGTGCTTATTCACAAAAGGGGTTTATATATATGTGTAAGTATTGTTACTGGAATTTTTTGTTTGAGCAAGGTCTTACTATGTAGGTAAGGCAGGCCTTGAATTCACCATGTAGCCCAGACTGGTCTTAAACTCACTATGGAATCTAAGTTGGCCTCAAACTTATAGCAATCCTTCTACCTCAGCCTACCAAGTGCTGAGATTACAGGCATGCTCCATCTACCATGCCAAATTTTGCTCACTGAAAATTTAGCAAATGCCATTACTCCTCAATTTTAGATTTTAATATATTAAGTTTTTCTGGGAAAAATGCTAATTATAGGTTCTAAAATCTAAGTGTGTTGGATAGCTTTAGTGTCAACCTGGGTTGAAGGAGCCTCCATTGGGGAATTGCCTTCATTGGGCTGGCCTATGGCCATGTCCATGGGGCATCTTGATTGCTGAGTGATGTGGGAGGGCCCAGCCCACTGTAGGTGGTGCCACCCCTGGGCAGGTGGGCCTGTGTTGCATAAGAAAGCAGGCTGAGCAGGGGCCAGGGGAGCAAGCCAGTAAGCAGTGTTCCTCCATGGCCTGTGCTCCAGCTCCTGCTTCCAGGTTCCAGCCCTGAGTTCCTACCTTGGGCTCCCTGACGAACTGTGACCTGGGAGCTGTAAGCTGAATAAACCCTTTCCTCCCCAAGTTGGTACTGGTCAGAGTATTTTGTCACAGCAATGAAGAGACAAACTAGGATACTAAGTCACCTTGATTTCAGAATCTTTACAATGAAAAAGATGGAAAAAAAAAAAAGTACTAACAAGCATGGTGGTACATGCTTGTAATGTCAGTACTCAAAAGGCTGAGGCAGGAGGATTACTGAAAGTCAAGGCCAGTCAGGTAGTATAACCCTATCTCAAAACAAAACAATAAAAAAGTAAGCTATATTAAAGGCATGGTATGTAAAGGCAGAAATATACACAGGACAATGCATACTGATTATGCCTAGGGTGTCCAGCATTTCACTTCCTAGGTAAGACCTGGTGCCCTGGGGACCCTTTGGAAACCTTACTAGGCCATTTCTATGGTCTTTCAGGGAGCAGGATATGAAGATTATGGGCCACATGGCTGTGATATCCAACCATCTTCAGTAGTTAAACAGTCAACAGGGAATGTTAGAATCTCAAGGATGACAGAAGCACTATCACGGCACATAACATACTGGATTTGGAAAGGGAATTCCTGGGCCTCGAAAGAGTACAGTTTAGAAATGAGCTTCAGTCAGGCATAGGGCACATATCTTAATCCCAACACTCAGAAGGCAGAGGTAGGAAGACTGTGGAAAATTTAAGACCATCCTGGACTACCCAGAAAGTTCCTGGCCAGAAAAGTCTACATAGTGAGACCCTGTGTCAAAATACCAAACCAGCTGGAGCTAGGAGTGTGGCATACACGAGCCCTTGGGTTCGACCTCTAGCTATGAATTCAAGGCCAGCCTAGGTCAATGTGAGAACCTGTCTCAAAAAACAACACCCCTCTCAAGAAAAAGCATACATATAAAACCCCAAAACATAAACCACCAAAGGAAATAAGCTCTAAATAACACTTCAAAAAAAAAGAAAAGAGGTGTGTGGGGAGGGTCACACTCATAGATCCCTCTATCAAACCTTAGAAAAAAACCTTACCTAACCCAGTCAGTACTTCTGGCAGAGAGAGACACACTGCATGTGCGTGTATATGTGTGTGTGTATGTATGTGTAGAAAAGAGGATCTGTGGTGCTTGCTGGCCAGCCAGTCTAACCAACTGGTAGATGCCAGGCTTAGTGAGAGATCCTGTCTCAAGAGTGGAATGTGACAGTAGAATTGGTGTAACCTCTGGCCTCCACAAATGCGCACGTGTGCACTTACACACATGCAGACAATACATTCAAACACATAAAATAAAAATAAATTATTATTATTTTTTTGGTCTTTTTGAGACAGGGTATCCCTGTAGCCCCAGCTGTCCTGGAACTCACTATGTAGACCAGGCTGGCCTTGAACTCACAGAGATCTGCCTGCCTCTGCCTCCTGAGTGCTGGGATTTAAAGGCGTGTGCCACCACACCCTGCTCAAATTATTTTTTTTTAAATTTTTATTTTATGTGTTTGAGTGCATTGCCTGCATGTATATGAGTGCACCCGTGCCATGCAATGCCTTGGAGGTCAGAAGAGGGCTTTAGATTCCCCTGGAACTGGAGCTAAGGACGTTTCGTAGCTGCCATGTGGGCGCTGGGAATCGAACCAAGGTTCTCTGCAAGAGCAGTCAGCGCTCTTAACTGCTGGCCATCTTTCCAGCCCCCAAAATAATTTTTTTTTTTTAAAAAAGAGCTCTACAGTGATCACTTAGAAGGAAGGCAAGACACCCACATTCCCTCCTTAAAAGAACTGAGCTTTTGGGTCAAGCCTTAGAGAACAAAGTTTAGTCTTTTCCACACCCTAATCCTTCTAGTGAGCCTATATAACCTCTCAGGGACACATGCACCTGAATATACGGTTTCAGGATGGGTAGGTCTGCTACAACCACATATCTATGATTCCTTCAAAGTGAACCTGAGTGTTTTTGTGGTTTAAAAAAAAAAACAAAACAAAATCAGCTGGGTGTGGTGGCTCATGCCTTTAATCCCAGCACTTGGGAGGCAGAGGCTGGTGGATCTCTGTGAGTGCAAGGCCAGCCTGGTCTACATAGTGAGTTTCAGGACAGCTGGGGCTACAGGGAGACCATGTCTCAAAAAGACCAAAAAACAAACAAACAATAAAACTCCCCAAAACAAAAACAAACAAAAAAAACCCAAAATCAAAATAGCCTTAAACCAAGAATGGTGGTACATGCCTGTAATCCCAGCATTTATGAGGCAGAAGTAGAAGGACTGCCACAAGTTCAAAGTCAGCTGCATCGACATAATGAGTTCCAGGTCATCAAGGACTACATACTAATACCCTGCCTCATAAAAATAAATAAATAAATAAATAAAAGCAGCAAAGCAGTCTTGGAAACAAAGTGGGCATGGTGGCAGATGCCTACAATCCTGCACTTAGGCGGTGAAGGCAGGAAGATCACAAATTTGAGGCCAGCATGACCTGTAGGAAAGACTGATTCAAAACAACCACAGAAAACCCCATAGAAACACCAAAAAAATCTACTGCTGAATTCTGTTTTGAGACAGGGGCTCATGGCCTCAAACTCACTATGTAGCTGAGGCTGGCGCCCCTAAGCCTCTTGCTTCTACCGCCCAAGTGCTGGAGTTACAGGTTTGCAACACCATGCCCAGCTCTCCCACTGCTCAATTTTTAAGAAAAATCTGTCTCTAAAGGTTCCTGATCCTAACCACTGTTTGAGACTACAATTACTACCAAAGGGAAGTGTTTGAAACTGAAGTAAAAAAAAAAAAAAAAAAAAATCAAGACCTTTGTATTCATGAATTCACAGCAACTGTGGTTGCCCACACACAGTCAAAATTCCAGCATGGATGGGGACTCATGAGGCCTCATCCCTAGCTGAGGAGCAATTGGCAGTAGATGGAAGGAGAGCCCATTTTCTTTAGGGGTATGGGCCCTGATAGGGTGTCCAAGGTTCAATAGATGGTTGCACAACCAAGCGTATATGGGCAGCAGTAAATGAACTCAGTGGGTTATTTTAAAACTTATTTGGGGGCTGGAGAGATGACTCAGTGGCTGCTCTCTGGCTACTCTTGCAGAGGAACTGGGTTCAATTCCCAGCACCCACATGGCAGCTAACAACCATCTGTAACTCCAGTTCCAAGGGGATCCAATACCCTCTTTTGTCATCCTCAGGCACTAATGACATGGGTGCCCTTACATACATGCAGGCATAACACTCATACCATAAAATAAAATAATAAACATTTAAAAAAATTTTATTTTACTTTTATGAGTGTTTTTGCCTGCATGCATGTAGGTGCATCACGGTGTGCAATGCCCACAGAGGCCAGAAAGGGCACTGAATCCCCTGGAACTGGAGCTATGGGTGGTTGTGAACCATCATGTAGATGCAGGGAACTGAACTTTGGGCCTGTGCAAGAGCAGCCAGTGCTCTTAACCACTGAGTCATTTCTCCAGCCCTGACTAAGTGGGTTAAAAAAAAAAGAAAGAAAAGAAAATGAGCCAGGCATGGTGGTGCACACCTGTAGTCCCAACACTTGGGAGGCAGAGGCAGGCAGATCTCTGTGAGTTCAAGGCCAGCCTGGTCTACATAGTGAGTTCCAGGACAGCTGGGGCTACAGGGAGACCCTGCTTCAAAAAGACCAAAAAAAGAAAGAAAAAAGAAAATGAGCTGGGCATGGTAGCACATGCCTTTAATCCCAGCACTCGGGAGGCAAAGGCAGGTGGCTCAAAAAGAAAAAGAAAAAGAGGACATGAAGTTGAGAAGGGGATACAGCAGGAGTGAGATGCAGTGGGAGGGGGTCTGGGAAGAGTTGGAGGTAGGAAAAGGGGTGGATATGAGCAAAATACGTTGTAAACATGGTATGAAATTCTCAAAGGATACATTTTACAAGTATTTTTAAAATATCATATGCCAGGCCTACTAGTGCACACCTGCAATCTCAGTAACTTGGCAGGCCAATGCAGGAGGATCCCAAGTCCAAGGCCTGTCTGAGCTTGAGTGAGTTCAAGGCCAGCATGGGCAAATTAGCAAAACTGAGTCCCAAAACATGTTAAAAAGAGGCTAGGGATAACAGCTTAGTGGTATGCCACTTGTCTACCATGTGTGAGCCCTAGGTTCAATCCTGAGAACCTTATTTAAAAAAAAAAAAAGGGTGGGAAGAAGGGGTATGTCTTCAAAGAAAAGCCAGGGTCAATAGTTTGATGAGTTTGAGAGAAGAAAAATTCAACAAAACAAAGGGGTTATTCCTCCCTTGGAACTCCTCCTTCTCTTAGAGGCACTTTTCACTTTTTTCCTCTGTAAATCAAT